AGCTACGAGATGCCATAAATGCATCTCTTGGCGTTCAACTTCCGAGCACCGTGGTGTTTGATTATCCATCTGTCGGTGCCATGTCTGGCTACATCACGTCGAAAATGCATCCGGGCGTTGATGATGCAGAGGACTGTGTCATTGATAAACATAAAATCGCCAGCGGTGTACAACGAGCGATCATCGGTGTTCTCGGCACGTCCAGCCGGACGGCATACGATACGCTCTGCACTCGTAACGCCGTGGACACCATCGCGTGCGTACCACTCGCAAGATGGTGCCTCGACGTACCTGGTGATACAACGAATTTGGGGGCACGTTTTGGCAGCTTTGTCAGCAGTGTGGACCAGTTCGACTTCGATCTTTTCAACGTGTCCTTCACCGAGGGTGTGTTGCTGGATCCTCAACAACGCATGCTCTTAGAAGCAACGTGGGAGGCCACGACCGACGCATGCCGCGCCAAGGCGCCTTTACAGTCGGGTGTTACTGTTGGTATCTCTGGCAGTGAATATGGCAGAATGGCCGACAACGTCAGTGCGTATACCGCGACTGGTGGCGCTCTCAGCGTCGCTTGCGGGCGCATTTCGTACACGTTCGGCATGCAAGGCATATGCATGTCCGTTGACACGGCGTGCTCGTCGTCGCTAGTGGGCTCACATATCGCAATCACAAGTATTGTCGTAGGCGAGTCTGATTCCGTTGCCGCGGGTGGTGTGAACGTAACGCTCAATCCGATGACGAGTGAGATGTTCAGCAAAGCCGGCATGTTGTCAAGAGACGGCCGCTGCAAGACCCTCGACTCGAGCGCGGATGGCTACGTGCGTGGCGAGGCGTGCGTGGTATTCGAGATTTGCTCTCTGACGATCATGAAGACGTCATTGGAACTTCATTCAAGCACCTTGGTCGCGTCGGCAGTGAACCAAGATGGCCGCTCAAGCTCCCTCACCGCCCCTAACGGACCCTCGCAACAGCGTGTTATTCGCAGCTGTCTAGGGTCTGCTAAAACGGATCCAGGTGCGGTCGACGGTCTCGAGATGCACGGAACCGGCACGCCACTTGGCGATCCAATCGAAGTGGGCGCTGCCCACGCAGTGCTCGTGGAACACACACACGATTCGCGGCTCACGGCGCTTGTTCTTTCGGCCATGAAGTCTTGCATGGGCCACACCGAGCCCGCTGCAGGTGCAGTCGGCCTTGTAAACGCCGTGTTCGGTGTTGGGTGCAGCCTCGTACGACCCATCGTCCATCTGACTGGCATCAACCCACATCTTTACAACATAGCGCACAACTCTGGATGCGGTTTGACAAAGGCCATGGCACTTCCAAGACAACAAGTTGCGACCATCGTTGCCGCGCATGACTGGCCCCTGCACCGTGGGGTCAGCTCGTTTGCGTTCCAAGGTACGAATGCGCATGTGCTGATTGCGGCACCTGTCTCATCGAGTGCGGGAGTCGCGCATCGTGGCCGATCCTCGACATGGCATCGCAGGCGACTTTGGATTATGTTGGTGCGACACCCGATGCTTCAAAGTGCTACTGTCGATTTAAAGGTGTCTCCCTCAGTACCTCCCTCAGGACCGAGCTTCGTTATTGTCGACTTTTGCCCTGCTGACAGTTTATTGTGTGCATCAGTACCATCGATGTCTTCTACGTCTCTCGCTTTCGCTTTTGCGGCCGTTGCTGCGATTGTTGATTCAGATTTCTACCACTGTGGGTCGATAGCTCGGTCTGTGGTCTTTAATTCTATACGTGTCGATGGTGCGATGATCGTTCGTGCACGTTTTAATATGGTTGATAATTCACTAGTGGTTCAAACATCAAGTCCTGGCGATGTAAGTGATGGGAAAATCGGTATTGAACCTATATCTGACACTGTTGTGCTCACATGCTCCTTTGACTTCACGGCAGCTGATGTATCGCCATTCAGCTATTTTGCACATCCATGCGACATACTTAACACTTGTCTGACCAAAGATAGACTACCGACATACGCTCTGTGTGGAAACGATACTCCTGCAATTTTAATGGACATCAATGCTTTAACTCTGCCTACCCTCTTCGATGGAACTGTTGCAAACATTTTAGAGGCAGCATGGAGTGGTAATACGCTCCAACGCGTTGACAATGCCAAGTGCCAAATTGCCACTTGTGGCTTTGGAGCGGTCAATCCTGAAACCAACACGCAAACCACGTGCCTAGCTTACGTTTGCGCCGGAGAGATATGCCATCTGTTTCTGAATTTACATCGAAATATGCCAAGAGAGACGTCATCGATATCTACACGGAAGGAGAAGTCTTGCAACAGCAGTTGGAACCAAATATCAACTTCAGATATGTACGTTGTATCTTGGAAATCAACCGGAACAAACTCACGAATTATGCGTTGCTCGCCTAGAGAATCATCGAGCTTTATTAGGTCACATGCGTTGTCTTCTTGTGGACAACTACTGCCTTCTCGGATCGCCGCAATGGCGACAGCTTCAGCTCAGGTCTATGCTACAGCCCCCGGGTCAACATCCCCTATACGGGGTATATACATCACAACCACAGGTGCGGAAATCTTAGTGCCGGGGGCTGCCCCCGGATATGCGGGAAAATACAGTAGTGCCCACTCTATGTCTGCAATATTGGCCGTTTTTCGCGTTGCGGGAAATGAACCGGCGAATGCAAGCGTTGTTGTTGGTGGAACTGACGTAGATAACATCGCTATTAAGGCTGGTCAACATCTTTTTGCCGATTCTAAGGCTGCAAATACATCGGAGACAATTGCAACTCGATGTTCCACGAAGTACGTGGGTTCGCTTACACGTGCACCGCATTTGAAACATGCATTACCACCTTCTACAGTAGAATCAGTATCATTGTCTACAACAGGATGCCGCCGTGCTGTTATTATAACTGGAGGCTTGGGAAGTATCGGCCGCCTCATATCGACGTGGCTTGCATCTTCTTACGATCCTAAATTAAATAATCCATCTCCTATGATTCTCCTCGGTCGTTCCGGCCGTGCTGCGTTGTTTTCAACGAGGGCTGTCCATGATGGAGGTATTGTCATCTCAGTCCGATGCGATGTTGCAGATTCAGAGGAATCAAATTTTGCAACTGCTCTTAAACCAATATCCAGCATTGTCGGGCATATTGGGTCAATTTTCCATGCTGGTGGGTCTCTCGTAGATGCCACAATCCTAAACCAGACAGCGGGTACGACATATCGTGTATTCGCCCCGAAGGTGGGCATCGGTAGAGGTATTGGTGGCGGTGGTATTTCTCGCATGTTAGGGAGTATTGAGGATGGGTTCTGCGACCGTATATTATTTTCCTCAATCGCATCTCTTCTTGGATCAGCTGGTCAGGCAAACTATGCAGCAGCAAACAGTGTCCTGGACACGTATTCAGGCATCGCACAACGATGTGGAGAGACTGACCTTACAAGTGTCCAATGGGGCGCATGGGGTGAACTTGGAGGTGATGGAGGCATGTCATCCAACATAGTTGGAACAGTGAGTCGGTTGGAACGATTTGGCATCGGCAGTTTGACACCTTGTGAGGGACTGAGCGCTCTCAGAGCTGTGTTGAGGTCCTGCATCTCCCACACCGGAATTTTATGCATAAACCCATTCAAATGGGATGTATTATTTAGGAACTTGCCGTCGCCTATGCCACACCTCCTTGCGGAGTTGATGTCGGTGCATGTCATCCCACCTTTGCCCCATTGTGCAACCAACGATGCAAGTGATACATGTACAATGCAATGTTTGGGTATTTCGCGGACAAATCGTATTGCTGCGATCCAATGCACGATCATGAATACCATTCAGCGCGTCCTTGGTCACGAAATTGACCCTCATAAACCTTTAATCGAAGCGGGCATTGACAGTCTTTCGATGACGGAATTGGGCCAAGCCATAGAGATAGATATTGGGGTCTCTCTACCCACCACAGTTGCATTCGACTATCCCACAGTTTCAGCGATAGCTAGTTTTGTTAGTGATAAGATGGGATTCAGTACGACTGACACCTCTGCTTGTTGTACAAATGCTCCGCCTCGTGGCCGAGAATTCGAAAACACTTACCGCAAGAGCATCGACCTTGCTGTTGTCATGGGCATTGGATGTCGCTTCGCAGGAAAGGGAAAAAGTGACTCTGACTCCCTAGGCAAATTTTGGCAACTGATTTCGTCCGGAGGTGACGCTATAACCACAGTGCCGCTCGATAGATGGGATGTAGATACTGACACGACAGCATTTGGGATTTGCCGCCGTCGTGACCCATATACGGAGCGATATAGTCGCCATGGATCTTTTGTATCTGATATCGACCATTTTGACTGTTTATTTTTTGATGTATCAAATGCAGAAGCCACGGCTATTGACCCACAACAGCGGATGATATTGAAAGTGGTTGTGGATGCCATGTACGGTGCTGGCATGACAAAGGACTTGTCGAGGGGAAGCAATACGGCGGTATACGTAGGAATCTGCAACAATGATCACGATAGTTTTTTGCGAGAGAGAATCGTAGAGATGACTTTTGAAGGCAAATCTTATGAAGAAGTGGTGGACACTATTGGAGCCATTGCGTACAGCACCTACGCATTCGCTTCGAATAGAGTAAGTCATATTCTGGGTCTAGTGGGTGCATCCCTATCCATTGACTGCGCTTCAGCTTCTGCACTCGTTGCCATTAATATGGCTGCAACAGAGTCTCTACGTGATGCAGGTAAAGATCTCCGGTGCATCGCTGCGAGTGTAAACCTCATTCTACATCACAACATGACGGATCTACACACGGCACGCGTGATGTTTCCAGCGGACGGGAGATGTAAAACATTCGACTCCCGCGCTGACGGTTTTGAACGCGGCGAAGGTGCTGGATCTGTTATATTGTGGCATTCACATGAACAAAGTAAATCAACAAATGAGTCTTCATCACAGACTGGTACGGTGATGCGTGAACATACAGTGAAAGAGCATGCATTCGTTTACATTTGCGGTCTTGCTACGACACATAAAGGAGGTGGCGCCTCTTTACGTGCACTGCGAGGTCCTGCTATTCAACACAAAGTACGAACTGCACTTATGGATGCCAGAATGGCACCTAGTGAGCTCAAGTACATCGAGGCATCTGGCTTGGGCGAACCGTATGGCGATGCTGTAGAGGTCGGGGCCTATCAAGTTGTATTCGAGCCCAATAGGAACCCAGACGATCAATTAGTTTTTGGATCGATTCACCCAAACATCGGTCACCTAGATGGATGTAGTGGCATGGCTAGTTTCATAAAAGCATGTTTGGTGACCAAACAACTCGCAGCGCCACCAATTGTGCACTTCTGTAGCTTACATCCGCTTATAGGTGGACAGATTGAGCAAGAGAAGAAAAAGTCGAGTGACATTGCGACTAAGATGGGACACACATGGATAGAAGTTGACGTAAATATGTTCCCAAGGGCATTTCCTATGTGCCTAGCCCCTATGTACTCTGTAATTTCGGCTTCAAACTGTAGTGATAAAAACGACAAGATATGTGCAACTGGAGTGAGCAGCTTCGGCTTTGGCGGCACAATGGCACACTGCATCGTAGATCGCGCGGACTGCGAGACTATTCACACTATGATTCACCCCCCGTTCGATTTTAAAACGAACGTGTTACTCCCAAAACATGACCGATGTATCCATAAACGTGCCCAAGCAGCTAGCGAGGAAGTTCTAGTGTACGTGGAAAACGTCATCTGGCAAACATTTCGTTCTTTCCTGGGACCATCACGTAAGATAACCCGTGGTGGCAATTTCTTTGATACTAACGGAACTGCCCTAACGAGAAATGAAGCCAGTGATGTAGAAGAACATTTACGCGAGCGGCTCGGAATGTCATTTCTACCAGATGGGATCGTTTCATCACACCCTGCATTGGCAAAACTTGCTGCTGCGGTGATGCAATCGGCCATCGCAAATCAGGCATGTAAAGGCTTCGATATACATGCAATCATACGATCATGGCTCGAGTCGCATGCATCACGGCAAATGATCGAGCCAGAGCGACAGCCAAGTAGCCTTGCGATGATCCAGCCAGAAAAATGCGCTCGACGCATAGTTTATGTTCTTGCAAACCCACGCTCAGGTTCAACGTTGACTCAACTCTTGTTGAACGCGAACAGAAGAGTTTTCGCGCCGCAAGAGCTATATTTATTGCATTTTTACACGATGGATGAGCGCCGGAGTCGCTTAGCAGGTCAGAAACTAGAGGGGTGGATTTTTGAGGGTTTGAGAAAGGCAGTTATTGAACTTCGCGATTGTCAAGCATCAGAAGCAGATGTTATTCTGACACAATTCAGCGCACTAGAGATTGTGCACGTCTATGAAATTTTGCAGCGATGGAGTGGTGATCGTGTCTTGGTTGATAAAACTCCACCTTATGTTTGGAGCATCAACACTCTCCGTCGAGCAGAGACGTTATTCACCAATGTTCGGTATGCATTTGTGCACAGACATCCATACGCAAATGTAGCGTCCATGGTGAAAGAAACGATACAGCGAGAATGGTTATCAGGGGTGCTTGATGGAGTTGTCGATGTCAAGAGTGGAAGAGGAAATGACGGCATCAGTGATTCTGGTGCTCCCTATTGTGAGAAGGTCACAAACTTGGAAAGTCGCACTATCAAGGAAATGACAATGTCATCCATAAAGAGTGCGATGTGGACTGAGGCAGAGAGACTGTGGGCGCTCGGTAATGCAAACGTCATTGACTTCTTACGCAGTGTTTCGCGCGAAAGATATTTAAGATTCTCATACGAGGACCTCGTGACAAGACCAAGGGCAGTTTCAGAGAACTTATGCACTCTCATCGGAATTCCACATGAACTAATCATGACTACGCCATACACGGCAACAAACGTAGCCACGTTTGCGCCAGTGACAGAGGGTGGTCTTGGAGCGGGCGATCCACACATGCTCAAACGTTGCAGCATCGACCCAAAGCTTGCAGATGCATGGAGAGACGCTGAATCGCCAATGACGCTTGCACAATTTACATCGCATGTTGCAAAACGATTAGGATATCGTCTACCGGGATGGAAGGAGCCCACGCTTCAAGTTGGGACTGCACCTGAGATTGTTAGGCTGAACGACAAAACAACATGTCCAGTAATTTTGTTCGCACATGATTTATCTGGGGAAGTAACAAAAGCAGCTCCGCTCGCTAAAAAATTGTCATGTGCTGCATTCGGATTTCGCGTTGCTCCATTCCGAGAAAAAGGATCAGGTGACCATTCTGGCGTGCCTTCGTGTACATTACTACAAGTCCCTGACCTACCATCACTTGCTGCGTATTACAGACATCTAGCCGCCGTGTCATTAGGGTTGGAATCTGGGGATGATGTTGTGTATGCCGGAGTTGGCCAATTTGGGCGGTCGTTAGCTACACAGATGGCAGCGCAGCAACAAAGGGCGAACACAATTCATATCGAGGACAGGAAATATTTGCTGCGAAACCAAAATTCTCGGTCTTGGGATGCAACCAAAGAACGTGGCTGTGACTCGTGTGCGGCGGGATTGCTCTTGTTGCCTGAAGATGACTACAACATCAGTAGAGTCCCGGCTGACATCCGTGCACTGTATGATGTGGTGCAAAATGAGATTAATATGCATGATATATCGGATAATAGTTATGCATCTCGCATTAGCACACTGACGCTTACAAAATTTGAAAATGGATTAGTAGCTGCTGGTGGCCGAGGCTCCCCCGAAGCAACACTCGCATACGCCGAATCATTTCGATATGCCGATAAAAACCTAGAGTCGTGCAAAAAAAGTGGTCATGCGAATACAGCATGTGCCACATGGGATGATCGTGTGCACCGTGCATTGTGTGTTGCTCGACGTGGGGCTGCACTACTGGCTACGGATGATAGGTTAAGCGATTTCGACGGGGAGACAATCGACATGACTGGGGAGCGTCGTCTGACAAATATGAGATCAGCAGAGCTTGCAGAAGCAGTGAGCGCAAGGCTATTTACTAGACAAGTCAAGAAAAAATAAATCTCGAGTGCTCGGCTGGAGATCATTGAAGTATACACTACACTAAACTCTACAATGGCGCGCTTTAGAAGGTCTGTTTCTAATTGTACCTTCGAAGGTAGTCTGAGTAGAATATACAAGGACGTCCTATTCTCTTATGATGACATCTCTACTGCATGACTCACTTCGACTTGTAGAATAATTTGCCACTCTTGCGATCCTGCATTTCTCGAAAAATGACATCGATCGCTAATAATTTTCTCTACCGTTTCTGAAGTACGGAAGTACTTCCAGAAGTACTTCTGTACTTTCGAACTTCTGTAGATAGAATACGGAAGTACCTTCGTACTAGACTACGAAGGCACAACGTAGTCTACGATGTACTTTCGGAAGTACTTCCTGTTTTAGTCTATCTTCGAAGGTACAGAAGTTTGTGTACTTCCGAAGTACCTTCGAAGGTACTTTCGTACTTTCGTACGAAAGTACTTTCGTACGAAAGTACCTTCGAAGGTACTTCCGTACTTCCGTAGATAATACATCTTACGGAAGTACTTCCCGAAGTACTTCCGTACCTTCGAAGGTACTTCCTACCTTCGTACAACGTTGTACTTCACCCGGCCATTACTTTCGAAAATAAACTTATCTGTGTGAAAAATACAAAGGTAAATATCAGGCCAATATATGGAATAATTCTAAATGCCAGGATGTCTTTGCGGCGCAACGGTGCCAAGTCTGTGTCAATGCTATTTCTGCCGCCATCTGAAAACGCCATCATATGTCCAACCAACGACGCAGGCGTGGCGTTATCAACTGCAGCAAATTCGATGAGATTATATCCGAAAGGTGCAACTTCTTCCAATTGGCGCCTTACCTCGATCACCTGCAACGATCCAAAACCTACGTCCACGAGGTTGGTATTCTTCGTGATAGGTTTAGCATCTTCAGTGCGTGAGGCAGCATTAAGCACCCTGAGTACATCTGCGAGGATATTTATGGATATGGCGTTTGAAGTGTCACTAGCAAAGACACCTTGTATCCTCGCGTTTGCAGGATGGTGAGAGGGTAATTTATTTGATAATGATGGTGGCCAGACAGCGAATATGTGACTGAGAAATTGCTGAACTCGAGTGCTCGAGAATCTTGCCACGGACACAGCACGAGACATCATGGACTCTCCCATCATTTTTGATTCAATCTGTGCACAATTGATGACACGATTGATGACACTGACTTTAACTCCAATTAAAATCCATCTGTTACAGCAAGCAAAGACGTTTGATCCTTTCGCCCTCAAACCGACGGTGTCGCCTTCAGAACTAAAATTGTATGCATTTGGAGAAACCGTAAAACACAAAGCGTCCACAGCAGAAATAAGCTGACGTAGCCCTGTTGAAACAAGTGCACTTGATGCAGTATTACTATTGCTGCAATCGTTCCATCGGGAAGACATCACATACGACGTATATGTAGCATGTTTCGTTTGGTGTAAGATCTTACTGACTATGTGGTTGGTAATAAAAGTGTGAATCTGTCCCACCCCGCAAGCCAACAAACATTGACTTCTACATGTCTCTCTCACAACCAATCCACCGTGTCGGACGTCCACATCAATGCTTATACGCCCCTGTAAAGAACAATTTAGCGTGGGGAGAGCGACTTTCCTACAATATGTCACATCGAAATTCATTGGTTGAAGCGTTGCATGTGCAATAGCAGACGTCAACTCCATAAGAATTGTAGGATGCAAAGTGCGACGACCGTAACACATATGGTCATTGATCCACGCAAGATATCGCGGAGCGGTTAGGTCGCTCATTATCACAACCAGATCTGGTTCGACCGAAATGCATGCATTTAAAACATGTTTTGTCAAAGGAAAGCACCATACTTGACCTTGGTCAAACAAACTCACTCGGTGCCCTCCTGCAATCGAGCGCGGCGGCATCGTCAACACGCGAGATGCCACTATACTGTGCGCATTAGTACCCTGAAATGCAAATGAGCTCACGCCGCATATACACCCTGGATTTTCTTCGTGCCGCACAGGAGCGCAACTTTTCTGCCGTCCTGCGGCTGCGGTCGGGCAGCTATCCACACGCCGCTTAATGACCTGCAAAATATATGTATTCAGATTGCGGAGGTGCAAAGGATGACCTCTACCTCGTGTATGGAGTTGGCATATCGCGTTCAGCAAGCCCCACATCCCAGCAGCTGCTTCGGAGTGCCCAACAGATCCCTTAATGGCACTCAGTGTAATTATACAGTCATCATGTGGTGTTACAAGTGAGTCGCTTGTGCCATTCCTAACTAGTCTTGCAAAGGCATCTCTCGCCTCTTTTGCCACAGTGAAAGCAGCACCAAACTCAATTGGATCGCCTAGAGCCGTACCCGTGCCGTGCATCTCAAGCATGTCCGCAGGTCGATTTGTCAATGTATGCGCAGTACGCGCTGCCGCGGTCAAAACTTCTTGCTGCGATGGCCCATTGGGCGCTGTCAGTGAGCTAGAGCGCCCATCTTGATTCACAGCGGAAGACGCCAGCAAGGTTGGTGTAAGTCGAATCACAACTGCTACATCAACCATCATTTGTGACGAAGAGTTGGAAGGAGAAGCATTCCACAGAATTAAAGCCCAAACCGCCTCAGTACGTACATAGCCATCGGCTTTGGCATCTAAAGTCTTACACCGCCCATCGGGTGCCAACATCCCAGCTGCGGCGAAGATTGTTGATGCTTGCGGCGCAAATATCAGTGCAACTCCACCCGCTACTGCTCCAGTAGTTGTTCCCGCCATCTCTAGGCCGGATACACCATCTTCGACGATAATATTACCGGCCATGTGGGTAGCAACAAGGGATGAGGAGCACGCAGTATCGACGGCAAAGCTTGGGCCCTTTAATCCAAAAGTGTATGATAAACGACCACACACTACCGATACAGCGTTTCCGGTCCCAAGGTAAGGCGATGGAGGACATCCAAATGTCTCCGGAACTATGCGTGAGTAGTCCATGACGCTCAACCCGATTGCAACTGCAATCGAATCACTTGATGGCGATGATGCACCGGGTAGTCCTGCTGCAGTGAAAAATGCAATTGTAGAACCCGGGGCAGTACAAAGTGCGTAACATGACTCCAATAAATGTCTTTGTTGTGGATCCATCAGCGCAGCCTCGACATGTGAAGTTGCGAAGACGACTGCATCAAAATACGCAACGTCGGGCACCCAGGCTCCGAAACGTGCAGCAGAGGTGGAAGCTGGGGTGACAGATTCAGAGGGGTTTGATCCTCCCGCAATGTCATGGTTCCATCGGTCATGCGGTATAGTTGAAATATCATCGGATGCTGCAATAGTAGATAAGGGGCTGGCCGTGCAGGCTGCTGATCCGGACCAATCCATAACGACGATGGAGGAAGAAAGGTGATGATTTGGACTCGCCATGGTCGGAATTTGCGGTGCTCGTGTGATGATATCAGGAGAAGAGGAAAATGTCTGCTTTGCGTCATCCTCATCCAGCTGAGATGCCAAAAATACTGACAACGCATGCACGGATGGGTAATCAAAAGCTGCTGTAGCTGGAAGCTCAACTCCATACAACTCCTCGATTTTATTCTTCAACTCCACCCCTGCTAGTGAATCAATTCCACTATCCATCAGGGGTTCATCAGGAGCGATGTTTACTGCCGCAACTTCGCGAACAACAGAGAGTATATCATTTGAGATAGCTGCAAGTCTCACCTCAGAGTTGTTTCTTGTTTTCAGCGTTATTTTTTCTTTTGCTGGAATAGAGGAACTCAATGCAAAATTCTCGGTCGATGAGACATTATTATTTTGAATATATGAAAGCAAAGTAGTAGTGCGTGTTGATCCTGTTATGGAGTCAAGCACGAACCCAGTTAACTGGAATACAATGTCAGTCGATGTGGTATCTGCAACATAATCAAATAATGGAGGCGTGGGTTTGGGAAGATATGACAAGAACACATGCCATTCAAATGGACTAATGGACACGTCCGCAAGATTATCTTCCAGTGTAGTAAACAATGCATTGAGACCTTTTGTTGGACTCACTGTAGCTATACCCATCCGAGCTGCCCGCCTCAATATGAACTCATCCGCCATCCCCCCACCTGACCACCCCCCCCAATTTACACTCATTGATGGCACCCCACTAAAACGATGAAATCGGGATGCACTATCAAGAGAAGCATTCGCGGTTGCGTAGTTTGATTGTCCAGCTGCGCCAAGCAAAGACGCAATCGATGAAAAGAAAATAGTTGGACCTGATGCGCCAAAAAGTATAGGAGGCGATGTGACTAACCGTACCGCCCCGCTATGCTTTGGGGCAAACACCCCACGAACAGTTTCCATATGCTGCGACAAGAGTTTACGGTCGGCAAGCAAGCCACTAGCGTGAAATGTAGTAAATCCAGCAGCATTGCATGCGACCATATCAGTCTGGAGTGCGACCCCTTCCATGTTAGATATGTCTGCTTTTGCAATAGAAACAATTGTTGCAGTAGATACAAGGTTTGACAGAGTCATTTGGCTGTCAAGTGCGCGTCCAGATTGACCTGTGAGTATTATTTTATTCGCTTTTGACCGGGTGGCTAGCCATAACCCCGTGCGAGCTCCGAGAGCACCAGATCCGCCAGTAATTAGGGCCGTTTTAGGTGACACAGTAAATGCCTCGTCAAAAGAAGGGGTTCGAAGAATGAATAATATGTCTTTTATCGTCTGTTGTTGGCGAATCACGCAGTTAAACGCGACGTGCACATCATCTGCAGTTAATAAGTTCTTCTTAGCAGACTTGCTATAACCCAAACCATCGGCAACTTCAAGAGCAGTGATATTTACCACCTGAGAGATCATCACGTGCTTGTCCATCATATTGCTGCATCGAAGCGCATCCAACCTCTCTAATAGTGCTGCCGAGAATTGTGCAGCCATGATACACGGTACATTTGCAATGTTGGAGGGTAATGCTGCCACGTAATGATCGTGAGCTGTTATTGCACGCGATACATGGCCATAATGTAGTCCTACAACTGCTTCACCAACAGTGATTGTAGATGTTTTCAGAATTCTTGCACCAACTTGAACAACACTGCCAACAAATGCACAAAATGCGCAAGCAGCTAATGTATTCGCAGCTTTGGCACCAAGAGTAAACCCTACGATATCATGCAGGCTCGGTGATGATGCAATGATATGAATCGCATATCCTTGTTGAGGTGCGGGGATATCAAAGCGCCTCTCACCTTCTATAACTTTCAAGGAAGATGGTCGCATTTGCCACATACGGACAATTTTTGACATCGATTCCGCCGCACCGCGTATTGTGGTGTCATGTCTCTGCCGTGCGTCAGCTTGATTGGTGGTGCATGTGTCTGTACTCTGATAGAGCCTTATCAAATCCATGGGGTCACCATCTATTGCAACACCTTCTATTCCAGGTACCTCCTGTGACAATGTACGAATCAACGCATGCAACGTTGATCCTCGCGTGTTCATCGGATGTGAAGACATATGCATCACGCTAATTGATGATGATATTGGCAATGCCCCACGGGTATTGACCTTGAACGTTGTCAGTATCCGTTCAGCAAGAAGTGTTTGTGAAGCTGCGACTGCGCTAGCAACTTCAGAAACAACCCTTAATCTTATAGGGATACGCTTGTTTTCCGCGATAAACATGTAGTAGGGTTTTGCCGCAAGATGAGCAATGACAGGTGCGCCAGGTATAGTCTCCCATCGAATATAATGGTTAACATCCATTCTCATTGAAGACGTGGCCTTGGAGATAACTTTAGTTGTCATCGTTGACGCATCCTTGCTTGCCGAAGATTTTATTAGAATATTTTTGATGGAAACAAGAGATCTGGTACCATCACCTAAGCTATGATTGCTGCGTCGTGCACGATCTTCAGGACTTGCAACTTGCTGCGCCGATGCGAATTGGTGTTCCACGTGCATCGACGATGTGGACGCATCATATCCAAATGCGCACGAGTCGATAGCAGCAGGAACATGGCCACGATATATCTTACCTTGTTGGTCATCTCGTGACTTAAATAAGTCAGATGCATCGGCGATTGAAGCGACGAGGTGTATAGCATTGTCTACAGCTTCGATGTTGATCCATCCAGACTCATTTGCTGAGGACATAAGTTGCGCGACAGTGTTGCTCTGCGGCAACGACTGCCCCTTAGGGAAAAAGTCTACGTGTGCCAGAAGCGTTGTGGCATCAAATGCCACCAAAGACGCAAAGCCGGTGAAGTGCCGTCGCACAGTTCCAGACACATGCGTCACGATGAATGACGAAGGTGAGGGTGACGTAGAAAGAAGCCTGATTGAGCCGTCTGCACTCTTCCGAACTTCAACCGTGGTCGATGGCACTGCTTCATTTCGGTAGGGAATGGTCGATACCACCAAAGGTGTGGACAAAATCACATTTGCAATAACCACATATCCATGCAGTTCACTATCATTGGCACACATGGTCGCAGCGACCATCACTGCTAGTGATGCTGCCGCTGGGAATAACGAGCGACCCAAGACTTGGTGGTCATGCAAAAATGGAATCACGCGCGTTCCATCCATATCAAGTTCGATCTTATCTTCGTGTGCGCCATTAGTTGGCAGTGCTGACCACTGCATAAGCATAACATGTAAACAGGGACGATAAGAAAATTGATTTGCATCTCGAACCCAAATGAAGCTTGCTGAAAACTTCAATCGTGGTTTCTGATGTCTCGAGCAGATACAAGCGTGAGCATTTACACCACTCATTCCGAAACTAGAAGTCGCCGCAGTCTCAACGGTAGAATCGCGCACAAACAAAATCGAGGAGCATCTAGTTCGGGGTGCACCTGGTCCGCATTCTCTACCTGTCTCAAACGCCGATGCCACGAACGGATTCAAATCACGAAGGTGTCTTACCGACGGCGTGTCTCGGTGTGAAAGCGCACATGCAGCAGCAAGAAGACCACACACCCCTGCAGCACCCTCTGTGTGACCATAATGAGCCTTTGGGGCCCCCAGAAGGAGTTTTGCGTTGGTATCACTGTAGTTTGTGTTTACGTCAGCCAACTCTATGACATATCGAGCAATTGCCGCCGCTTCGATAGGGTCACCCAGGTTAGTACCTGTCCCGTGTGTTGCTATGTACTTAGTACTGGTGGCTGCATCGCTTATGCCATGAACACTAGTCGCTGCTTCTTCTCGAGCAACATCAAGTAATAGTAACTTCTGTGAAGGACCATGTGGTGCTGTTAGTGCACTACTGCGTCCATCCTGGTTTATAGCTGACCCTGCCAGCATGGCGTTTTCGATGAAAACAAGAGATTCAGTGCCACCGATGACAAAAACCCCACATCCTTCCCCTCGTCCATACCCATCCGCTGAAGTGTCCATTGTCTTGCATCGTCCAACTCGCGATAAGGCTCCTATCGCACAGATAACCGATGTGTTGATGTACAACAACGTAAGATTGACACCTGCAACAAGACCTGCGTCAGCCTCTCGCATTCCAACCTCTCTCCATGCCAGGTGGGTCGAAACGAGCGATGAAGAGCACGCGGTGTCTGTGCTAATGCATGGGCCACTCAGATCAAGGCAATACGACATGCGGCCACACATAAACGCGCTGCCACTTCCAGTGCCTGCATATGCACCTGCGTCAACACCATATTCACGTTGTAAATGAGGTACCTCATTGTACATACATCCTACGTACACTCCTGTGCGCTCGCGAATACTTGAGATCTTAACTTCAAGACTCAAGAGGTTAGCAACAGCGCACGTTCGTAAGCATGTTTCTAGTAACAAACGTTGTTGTGGGTCCATATGCAGGGCCTCTGTCGAAGACATTCGAAATAAAGTTGCGTCGAAATGCTCCGTGTGTGTACTTTCGAGGAAGGCTCCGTGGCGGACCGTCACAACACCTATTTCTCTTACTGAAAGTGGGTCATAGTGTCGTTCAATATCGTATCGAGCGAGTGGGACGAGCTTTTGAGGATCCGTCCCCTCATGCACTAATTGGCACAAAAATGACTCCGTAGAGTCCACGCCGCCAGCATACACTGCGGCAGCTGTAGCAATAGGTATGAGCTTGCCATATCTCCCTGAAGGCAGCAGAACTCCCTTCGAATCGAGACCACGATCAAAAAAATGAACAAGAGCAGGATTGATGCCAGTATGCTCATCGGGTTCGTTCTTGTCTAACAAACCCATGACATCGACAATGTGTCTCCCAAGCGCTGCAGCAGTTGGATTATCCAGAGCTGCCGTCGGCTCAAGCTTTACGTTAAACTCTGTCTCTGCTCTTTGCTGTAGCTCTATACCAGCAACAGAATCAAGTCCCGACTCCATCAGTGGGTCGTCGTGCTGAATGTTGACATTCGTTGATTCGGCCAAGAGAATTAGAAGTCTATTCGTGACTGCTTCGACTGCGAGATCACCGTGCAAGTGAGCATATGCAGCTGGTGGAGTCCTCCTCCGAAGACCTTGTGTTTTAACGTGCAAGCCTTCAGACACCATATTAGAGAATCCGAAGATATTTTTTTCCGAACCAGGAAGAAAATCATTAAAGACAGACATCCTCGAAGTGATGCGTGAATCTAAGGAAAGTGAAAGGGTCAGCCATTCGATTGGAGTCACAATCATTCTACCCTCTGACGGAAAAACACCACCGCCAGAGGAAGCCGCGAAAGCCAACGCCCGCACACCTTCGTCAAGAGAAAGTGCACCATATCCATACTTCTCTGCAGCTTCTGACCCACCGTTTGCGGCCATGCCTGTGTTTTTCCATGCGCCGAATGCACAACTGCCATTGACTGCGCCACGGACTCGCTCAATAATTGCAAGACCTTCAAGAGATGCATTTGCTGCTGCATAGGGCGCTTGACCAATAGAGCCAAAAAATGAGGCAATGGACGAAAACGAAACAGATGCATCGAGAGGCGTCCCCAATAAGTCGCGAGACGGACGAAAGTGACGTAAAAATGCAACAGACTTCGGGGCAGCAACAACACGGATGTCGCCAGCAGTTTGACGCGTAAGAATAGCATCACGAAGTAAACCCGCTGCATGAAACAATAACGATGCGTCGCGACCAGTGATCACACGTGCATAGAACGCATCTTCGGCTACTGAGATATCAGCAGAAATGGCAACAATGACACGAAAGCAATTCTCAACGAGATAACCAAAAGCTTGTTCTGCAGAGCGACCCGTGCGCGACACAAGGATAGGGTGCATACCGGGAGGTCGATACGCGCATTTTTTATCATCATCATCTGAAATGTGTCGGTGGTTGGACTGGTGTCCTACAAGCCATATAGCAGCGTTGAGTGCGATGGCGCCGAGACCTCCCGTCACGAGTGCGCGTTTTTCGCACCCGAGAGCGAAGGGGGTCGGTGGTGCAATCGCACGAAGTGATCGTTTGACAGTGATGTCCTCGTTTAGCTCTTCAATGCTGACAAGTCGAGGCGTTGCACATGCCCCACCATAGTTCAACCCACTGTGTAAATTGTCTGCTTCTAAATTGTTTCCGTGATGAATACTGTAAGTATCAACTAATGCGTAGTCCATACCATTCAAGCTCGATGACGAAGGCATTTCCGTCGCTGCAACAGTCCATACTCCCCACACTGCGTCTGCCAAGTTTCCGGGATTGGAATTCGATGCAACGGTGGTGGCAGGGCGGAACGGATGCGCATCACGTGTGCTAAGTGAAATAGATACTTCTTTGGTGGTGTTTATACGTGCTTGCAAAGTTTGAACAGACCCTGCAGTTGCACGCACCAATGAAGCTGCAAGCTTACTTGGTGTTGCCAATCTCGCGATGCGACAGCTATCCGCAGTTGAAACGTGAGTGACACTACGGGGTTGCGCATCCCAAATAATTCGGTAAAATGCACGTCTACTGCTGTGCTTTTTTTGTGTGGGTTTTAGCGCATGTTTCTTTGATTGTTTTGTCATTTCATCAAACGCGTGTCGATGCACGGCACGTACCTCCATGTTGCGCAATCGACCAAGAGCTGCACTTCTAGGGCTCGTCAGCTCGTGAGACGACATTTTTGATTTTTGAAAATTGTCTCGATCATTACCCGGAACGTGTACAGAGGCCCGAAGGGATGATCCGCCAGGATGATTCATTCGTGCACTGAAAGCTGAAAACCCAGTAGGTATTATCAATCTTGGCTGGTTTGATGCTTTCGAGACAACGTGTGATGCAGCAGCGAGCTGTAACATGTTGTCCAATGCCGACGGTTCGATGCGGAACGGCGTATAATTGTCCGATAGGTCTTCAATTGAACCATGAGCGAATAGCCCTTTCCGGAGCGGCGAGGCCGTTATAGAAGGAAATGTTATCCTATTCAACATATTCAGAAAATCATTGGTCCTCTGTACCGTTGCATCACATGCACCTGGCTGGTGTGCAAGATAATGCACATGAGCACATAGGTGTGGATTTCCTGTTTTTCTTTCAGACACTATTTCCACGTTACTCCCCACTGAATCTGTCCGCAATTGAATTACAGTCGTCATTACTTGTGAATTATCTTTCGATGTCTCGGGTAGAAGTAAAGGCACAGGCATCACTCCGCATACCACAGCTACACAATCAGCAATCATACAGTCACCCAGAGTACAAACACCGCTAGTTGCAAGGTCCATAAAGCCTGCAGCAGGGAAGAGTGCATGCCGCATCACCCGATGATCCCATAAACCGTGATGCTTCCGTGGGTCTAGGAAAACATTCTGGATACTTGTTTGAGGCGAAACGCAACGAATGTCGCTCAGCAAAGTGTGTGCAGACATTGGCACTACCCATTGTCGTTTGCAGTCGAGGACATTGATTGAACAATATGTGTACACGATTGGTGACTTGACATTGACGATTTGCGCTTGAAGTACCACGTGACTGTTTGTTCCTTGGAAAGCAAACCCACTTATACCGCATGAAGGACCAGTTGATGTCACTGGTCCTGCCAATATTTGGTTCGATTGTTGCCGCAACACCTGTATCGAGACTGCAGATGTTTCTGCGGATGACTTGCTTGCAGCAGACAGCATCACACTGATCACGTGTGGATTTATGCTCCTAAGATGACTCATTGCCGCTGTGCATGCGTGCAACATATCATTCAACGGCTGAGCAACTCCGACCATGCCAGCAGCAGTTTCTGTATGCCCGACGTGGGATTTAACCGCCTCAAGCTTCAGTGGCGCGTGCAGAGTATCAATTGCACGCTTATATACGGTCACTACGGCTCCTACTTCAATTGGATCACCAAGTGGCGTGCCAGTGCCGTGCATCTGTAGATTTGTAACATCTGTTGCATCCAGATTAGTGTCCCGTAGTGCGGCACAAATCACTGATTGTTGAGAGGGGCCATTTGGTGCAGTAAGAGAACTAGATCTCCCGTCCTGATTTACGGAGGATCCAATGACAAAGACACAGAAGGACATCGTTCTCGAAAATGTGTGACGGCCAATGCACTCAATGAAGATCACGCCTCGTGCCTCGCCCCGGACATATCCGTTTGCTGAAGCATCTAAGGTTTTACATCGACCTTCAGGAGATAACATCCCAGCCGCTGTGAACAAACCCGAGGTCAACACACTCATGATGGCGCTGACGCCGCATGATAGCGCCGCAAAAATATCGCCAACTTGCATCGCACGTGTTGCCACGTGTGTGCTGACTATAGATGCTGAACATGCCGTATCCACTGCCAAGGATGGTCCCCGGAAGCCAAAAATGAAAGATATTCTACCGGCAGCAACACTGAGAACGTTGCCTGGCAAGATGAAAGCGTTGAGTAACATGGCAGTTGGCAACACCTGATCGATAAGATAGTCTGTTCCGCTGATACCAACGTACACGCCGATACCAGGAATTTCACCTTCTAGATCGCTGATCTGTTGTTTCGTGGGCATTGCATGTGCTTGCACATGTAAGACGCCCTCAAGCAACCATCGATGTTGTGGATCTGTGACAATCGCTTCAGCTCGAGAAATACCAAATAGAGATGCATCAAATATATCACCTTGATCGATAAAGCTTCCAAAAGGCGGTACAAGTGCAGACGTGGCCTCATACTCTAAATACATATCCCAGAATTGTTGCATGTCCCACCGTTCTCTAGGCACACGCGAGATGGCATCGCCGGTTCCTGAGACATCGGCAATAAACCCAGAACGGGGTGTTGAGGGTAGAACAAATGACGCATCAGATACGGCGGTTGAAGTAGCAAATGATTCAGCGGAGTTGAGCATAGTACCAGAGCTGGTTACGTTATTCTTGCTACGGACTTGATAAGGACGAATGGTTTTATTTTCTTCAGAACGTGTTTCTTTCTCGTTGTTACCACTGTTGACCTGTTTGCAAATGAAAGATGACAATGCTGCAGCTGATGGGTAATCATATAAAGCAGTTTCCGGAAGGCAAACGTGGAATTCGGACTCCAATTGCGTCTTCATACCAGCCCCAGAAAGTGAGTCTATTCCCGCATCTATAAGTGGTTCATCTTGGTCTATGGTGCGGCCAATAAGTTCGCTCAGTATGGCAAGCACCCTACTGAGGACAAAGGTCGAATCAGTATCCTTGCTGCTTCTATAACCTTTATGACTACAGTTTTCTACTTGAGATGATTGAGAGTGACGCGGTTTAATGTCGCCGTGCATGCTGACGTTCTTTGCTCCACGCCCAGTGTCTTGTTGTTGTTCAATTATGAATGTCACAAGGGCATTCGTAGTGGGGTAATCAAATATCACAGTTTCAGGTAGATCAACTTCAAATTCATTTTCCATTTGAGACTTTAGCTCTAACCCAGACAGTGAGTCTAGCCCAGCGTCTATCAACGGCTCGTCTGGTCCAATGTCACGCCCAATGAGTTCACTAATTATATTTTCAACGCGCGGCTGAATATCAATTCGGACTGCACTGGATCCAACTGCTGTTGTAATGCGATTGTATTGCGGGTCAACCTCGAATTGTTCTTTCGTAAAGTTGCCCGAATGATTTACGTTCCTGCATTTGGTGTCAGCACTACCTGCAAGCTCTGAATAAATGAACTCAGACATAGCCTCACTATTTGGGTAATCAAACACTGCTGTTTGCGGAATTTCAACGCCAAAGGTGATTTCAATCTTTGATTTTAGCTCGTCGCCCGATAGAGAGTCCAGCCCCGCTTCTATCAGGGGTTCATCAGGCTCAACATCTCGAGCAATCATATCGTTGATAATGGTCATTACGCGGAATTGTATGGCAGGGAGGCTCCAAAATGATGGTTCATTTGCAATAGAGGCCGCCGGTTCAAGCTCGTATGTACCGATTTTCCCCTTGATCTCACTTCCAGTTAATACATTCTTTGCTGTTACATGATTTACTAAATCACGGCACATATCAGGCAGAGGATTTAGCACTTTCCCAAGTTTTTCCCAACTAAATGGGCTCACTGCAACAGTGTCAATGCTTCCCATATTTTCAAGCATCCCGAACAGTGACATCACTCCCTGCCAAGGCTGCAACACTCCCATACCAATCGCATCAATGCGTGAGAGTATATGGTCATTATCGGCAGCCATGCCTATTTCTCCCCATGCACCCCACTGAATTGAAATGGCAGGTTTGCCTTGGCCACGGGTTCTTTCTGCTAGACGATCTAGGGCTGCATTTGCGCCGGCATAGTTCGTCTGACCCGCACTTCCCATGAGCGATGCAACTGAGGAAAACAACACGATTGCATATAACGGCACAGGTCGTATTTGAGCTTTTAAGCGGACAATAGTTGAAGATTTAGCCCCAAAGACGTCTAGAACACTGTCCATTTTTTGTCTGACAAGCATCGCATCGCGCAAAATGCCTGCGGCATGGATCAACGAACCAGCAGGCAGTCGATGAGAGTTGATTGCTCCAGTAGAAACGTCTGCAAATACATTAGCACACTCCTCTAATGAAGATGTGTCTGCTCGATCGATTGTCACCACCCCTGAGCAATTCCGAAGTTCATGCGTAATCTTCCCTCGTCCAGCGCGACTGAGTAAACGTATGTCGATCGAGCCATGACGCGCAAGCCATGTTGAAGTTTCAAGACTCAGGGACCCTAAACCACCTGTGATAACAATTGCTGTTCGTGTGCCCGCATAAGAAAATGGAATTGGGTCACATGAGAGCGTCACGAGGGCAGGGCAAAGAAGATTTGCTGAGTCGCTGACGATGTGACGAACTAAGTATGATTTCATTGATTTCGATCCAGTGTCGATTACTGATGAATAGCGATTAGCCGCAGGATGGAGTGTGACATAAGGGTGACTCAACACACCACCTGAGGTGCCCCAATTCGCAAATGATCTTGCTATGAAATCAAGCGCCGCGGTTGAGCTTTGGACCGATTTTCCTGCCAAATCCACGAGGTTATGCACGCGTATATCTGGCCTCGTGTCAAGAAGAATAGAAATGTCGAGTTCAGGGCCATCCTCGCGGAGGAATGCGCCAGAGCTGACACCACATCCAACAATAATTTCTCTGACTGCTTCTACTCGCCGAACTGTTGCCCGAGACATCTTCACGAGCGTGCCACCGAAGGCGAGCACATCAAATGCGTCGACCAGTTCTTTCTTCGTATCAAAATAACCAAACACTGCAGTCGCCTTGTGCCCTAGAGGTAGCTCTTTTGGATCCGAAACCCAGTGCACTCTGTCAGTGTTTGCCTCCTCGTCATCAATTTGAGCAGCCGCGGCACGAGAAACTGGACAATTGAGATAATCTTGTAAGACGATAATGTTGTCTAATTTTTTGTCGAGCGAAAGTGCGACCTGTAGACACGCATGTGCAAGTACATGTGGTCCTGGTAGTGCGGCTGCAGATTCGAAAAAGATGCCCTGAGGGAGTAACCGACACTCTGCAATTGAGACGAGCGCGGATGAAGAAATTGTTGTGGCGCTGCTGGAGCGCATCACACCAAAGACCGCAGTGCCGACCTCGGTTGGGAAAGAATTACAACTTTCCATCACAGTACCGACGAATCCAACGAGAATTTGATCTCTTTTTGCTGTGTCTACATCCTCATCCTCACCGCACAAGCAATGCCAAGTGACGTCTTCTATGGATGCACTCGTTGCCAGAATCCTGACCATGACATTTTCACTCGTCACAACTGCAGGACGTAATGATGATGTATGTGACAGGGAAGCTCCGTGGTTCAACGGCGTGAGATTGGGCGATCTCCAATGCCCGCCACGCGTTGTCTTCTCCCTTGTGACACCGAGCCTATAGTCACTAACGGCAAAGATATTCGCTTCCCGATTCAAATTTGAGGTTGCATCGACATCAACCGAGTCAATCTGGCACTTGCGGCACTCCTGAGCGACAGTTCGTGCCATGCCGTGCATAGCAGCAGTGGTGATGAATCTTTTGGTTGGCGTCTGCAAGTCAGAGGAGATCGGAGTGTTGGAAATTGCAACAACACCGCCAGCAGTGCGAACCAATGCCCGATTCACCATCGTTTTTGTGCTTCCGATTTGAAATAGTGCTATGGCATCAGCAGGATGGGCACGTCTTGATGAAGAAGTCATGGAGTGAGGAGGCGCAAGTGGCCTTGTCTCCTTGCAACACTCCAATTGAACTGGTGGTGGGTATGCGAGCCATTCCAACGAATATGTGATTATTGGGATTTTCGATGGATTTATTTTGACAACCATTTTCTTTGTCTTGGTGGCTACCATATTCCTCTGCAGCATTTTGGTGGCAGCACGCATTTCCTTCAACCCCAACCCCAATAGCCTCATCAATAGACGCCCACCTAATGCACATGCTAGCTCGTGATTTGTTGCCTGTAGGCTACGTGAGGATGAAGATGCATTTTCTCCACATGCGTTTAAGTTTGTCGTGCGATTTGTTTTTAATGGTGCGGCGAATGCTTCGACGCCAGCAGGTACCTTTAGTGTTGAATCATCTCCACCTTTCTCGGATATCGCTCCTGCAAGCTGCATCGCATTATCGATACATGCGGGATGGATGTGATAATCCAAGTAATTGTCAGCAGCTGGTGCTCGTATGCCACCACTTGCAACAGGTTGGATACTAATTACAGTCTTTGCCATGAAATATGAAAGCAGGCTCTGGGGCGTGACGAAATTTGCGTCATTGGCAATTTTACCATCTCCACACTTCAGCATAGTTTCCGTGTGTGTTCTTTCAAGCATAGTAACAGTCGCCATAAAATGTGTGGAGGAAATTTGCCCAAAACTACGAGGCAAAATTGATGAAATCTCGACTTTTGGTGACCCATTCAACATGCACCATGCAAGACCAATTGTGGTCCGCTGATTATGATTTATTTCTGCACTGGTGTCGTTGCAAGTTGGAGGAATCGGAAGCAACATGGGCAGTGGCAAGATGCATTTAGTAATTGCAATGTCAGCAGCATTCGTGTAATCTGTCGGCAAAGCGATCAAGGTGCCTGCAACAGCTGCTTCCAGGAATCCTGCCCCTGGGAATAACACTCTTCCTAAAACTTTGTGGTCCCAAAAATGCGCATGGAGTCGCACATCTAACTTCGCGTGTACAGCCCAATATTTGATATGAACGTCAAACGAAGGAGATGCAAATGATCGCAGAGCTGCGTGCGGCTGAGGTAACACCCAATGTCGTTGTCTATCGAAAAGCACGTGTTCATTCACGGCACCTGCACAATTATGCGGTCCTTTATGAGAGTCAAATCGAATACCCATTATCGCCTGACCATTTGTTCCCTGAAATGCAAACGAACCAACACCACATGCCATCACATTATCGTCTCCAACGTTCACAGCCGCTGCGTTCTGACGGGAAATGCGCACCAATTGTCTTGCAGTCAAGGCATCAGCTTCTAATGAAGGCATGTACTTGGACGATTTTAACACACTCACAACGTGCGGGTTGAGGTCTGTCAAATGTAAAATTTTACTGCTGGCCATCTCATTCAGTGACAATAGTGGTTGCATCAAACCTATTATACCTGATGCACATTCCGTGTGGCCAATGAACGATTTTACTGCTTCAAGCACCAACGGTGAACCACTTGATCGCCTGAGCACTGCAAGACTTGCTCCAAATTCGATGGGATCACCGAGACTGGTACCAGTTCCATGCAATTGCAGTGATGACATGTTCTCAGGAAGCATCGAACCGACGGCAAGCGCGACACGGATTACAGCTTGCTGAGCTAACCCACTCGGCGCAGTCAATCCGCTGGACCTTCCGTCCTGGTTAACTGCAGTAGACAAGATCATGGCAACATCATTGTCTCGAACGATTTCAGCTGTACCACTGACTTCTAAAATCAATACACCTGCGCTTTCGCCGCGGACATATCCGTCTGCAGAGGCGTCCATGGTCTTACATCTGGCGTCCTCAGACAACATCCCGGCAGCAGAAAAGGTGGCGGTGCCACTGACAGCTAAAATAGAATGAGTACCACACGCCGCAGCTCGGTCAATTTCTGTACTCGTCATCGCTGCACTCGCTAGATGAGTGCTGACAATGGACGAGCTGCAGGCAGTATCCACAGAAAGTGCGGGCCCGTGCATTGCAAACACAAAGCATAGGCGCCCGGCAGCGCAAGAAAGCGTGTTTCCTGTTGCAATGTATGGATGGGTGGTGCCCCAAAAGCTTAAGACAAAACTATGTTGATACCCTTGGTCTGCGATGCCAACATATGCACCAAAACCAACCGTATTGCATTGGTTTCTATCCCGGTCGTCAGGTCGAGCTCGTAGCGTGCACGTATGTGATGTCCGTGCGTGTTCGAACATTTCGAGCAAAATCCGGTGCTGAGGATCCATTAGTGTCGCCTCAATCTGAGCCACCCCGAAAACTCCAATATCGATAAAATCAATCCCATAGTGCATAAATCCCCCGAGTGACGGTAGCAGTTTTTGCGTTTTGTCTTGATATGCTTGCATATCCCATCGCTCTCGCGGAATGCATGTGATGGAATCACCGGTTGCAGGGGTGTTTGGAATGAATGGACGAGTTGGTGCTCGAGAGGAAGATCCTGTAATAAGCAAGACACGGGCAGAGTTGTGGTATTGGAGGCGCATCCGAGAATGATCGAGAACCTTTGTCGAGGAAAAACTTTCCGATTGCTCCAAACCTAGATCATTGCAAACTTTCTGTGTCAGTGCATAAATTGTAGGGTAATCATAAATAGCAGTAGCAGGAAGTTCAGTTCCGAACACAGTATCAATTGAGGTCTGCAACTCTGCGCCGGTAAGAGAATCAAGACCAGCACTCATCAGTGGTTCATCGATTGCAACATTATGATTGCCAGTAAGTGAAGTGAATGTGCGTATGATGACGTCTTCGACATGTTCATGGCAGACTAGGACATGATGATCATGACTTAAAAGATTCTTTGAAATTGCGCCACTAGATACGCCAGCTTGCATGACATCAAAGGAAGATGGCACCGATTCAACCGTACTTTTTGGAATGACCATATCAGCACACACGGCTTGGCAGACTGCAGGCAAGGGCTTCAGGTGTCTCACAATCCGTGACCAGTCAAAGTTGCTTGCCGCTATTATTCCATTGGATCCATTTTCGTCCTTGCAGTTCTCTATGGCTGACAAATTGCGCAGTAACATGGTGAATACGGCGACACCACAGAGAGGAGTGACTAATCCAATGCCCATGCGCTCGACAGAGTTCAACATGTTAGGACTTCTCGCCGCCATTCCATCTTCGCTCCATGCACCCCATTGCACACTCGCGACTGGTCGCCCACCTCGACGAAGACGCATGGTTACACCATCAAGAGCAGAGTTTGCTCCAGAGTACCCTACTTGGCCCATAGAGCCAAATAATGCAGCAATAGATGAGAAAAACACACACGAATTTAGAGCTTCTGCGCCGCCTCCTGCTAGTCGCCTCTCACTATTGACAACAGGGGGAATTTTCGGAGCCATAACGCAACGAATTGTCTCTGTACACTGACGAGAAATATATGCATCTGAAAGTGCCCCAGCTGCGTGAACCACGTCTGAAATTCCACGAGGATAAAATGCAATATTAGAACGCGCATTCTCAGTTACCTCAGAAAACTCTTCTATCGATGCGATATCACATTTTAATAGTATGACAACTCCAGAGGGTGCAGAATCTCCACGAAATTTACTGTATAGGTGCCTCACAGCGGCGTACTTGTTCATGTTATTCCTGGTTCGACCTGAACGACAAGGAAGAGTGACACAACTCGTCGGGTTTCCCTTAAGCATCGAAAATGCGACTGTTGAGCCCAATGCACCCACACCACCCGTGATAAAGAATGCACGCGATGACTGATAATCTCTCAAGTCAGTGTCATTTGAAATCAATCTACGCATATAATTATGAACTTCTCGAATATTCGCTTTCATTACCACTCCTTTAGTTGAATTGGCACAACAAACAACATCGCGCAGAGTTAGACACTGTGAATGCGTTCGGTCGACTCTTGAATTGTTGGATAATAAGCACAGCTGAGACTGATAGATAACCCCAGCATCATCACATGATTTCATTGGTATCGTGGTGATACTAACGTAGGAGGAATACTCAAGAGTAGCCGTGCGCATTATGCCATGTATGGTATCATTGACAGTAAAAGAATCACGCAAGAGGACGTCGACAGACGAGACGACAATGCTGCCACGTGAGGCGAGTTGCTGCAACAATGCAATAGATGAACACGTCGCTGCCATGTGATGAGATGGCGAAGACGCGGCAACTGTAGAAGAATAACGGGAGAAACTATCAAGGTGTTGACAGCTTTCTATGTCACTGTAGCCCATCTGGACCCTCGACGGGATAGCAAGTCTCTTGAGGTAATAACACGAAGAGGATGATGTCACAGGTGCTTCCTCCGATGTCAGAACTAAGTTTGGATCAACAGAAAGATATCTGGACGCAGATATTTTCTTCGTTATTAAGCCAAGTGCCTTCGAATATCCGTCCCCTAGTGCATGATTGCTAACATTTTGGTCGCGCGCAAGCGTCAGTGCCCACTCGGGACATGAAAAGATGTCATTCTCGTATGTTTGAAAAAATGCCACTGCAGTTGGAATTGCTAAAGACAATAATGACACATATGCTGCGACACCTGCGTGCATCATCACATCGATCAAACGTGGGTACGTATATTTGTCACTGGGATGACATCCTCCATTCATTTTACCGTGACTAACTCGAGTGTGCACGTGTGAACGACAGATGTTACCACGTAAGTGTATGTGAAAGGAGTGAAGAGAGGTGATATTCCTTGATGAAACCAATTTGGTCGCAATAGGGGGAGTGGCTGTGCATCTATACTTCGACATGGCGAATCGGACACCAACAGCCATGTTTTCTCCAAATGTTGTTGACAGCGTTGCAATACTGTGTAAACTCAGTTCGCATCGCATAACTGTCATGCCCGTAATGAAAAGAGGTTTGACGAACGTGACGTTTGTAAGAGCACGTGAAGTGTCACTGAATTCTCGTTTTACCTCATGGTACACTGCTTGCGTCGCTGCTAATGCCGCAGACATGCTCATCGCAGCCGGGAGAATTGCGCATCCACAAACGCGGTGATCCATGAGACCTTCGATCACCTCCGGCTTATTACTCAGTGTAAATATAATTTTGTCGTTTTGGCATGTTGCCTCGCCGAGCACTGTATGTACAGTCTTCCGAGGCCATATAATCTGCCGGAAAGTGAGTGCATAGTGAGCACTGCTAAATGAAATAGGGAAGCCATTTGTTGTAAGGCAAATTACTGAATGTGAATTGACACCGCTCATGCCAAACGCACTGACCCCATAGGAGCTGTTGCTGCTTGACAACGAATATGCCGCACGCTCAGATGGTACCTTCAAAGTTTCACCACCAAATGCAGACACGACGTGTGTTGAGATCGTGCGGAGATGTGCGATGGGTGAAACAGATGCGGCATTCATGGCAGAAATAGTTTTGAGTATTGCGTGTGTCCCAGCAGCACCCTCCAAATGGCCAAGCACACTCTTTGGAGCTTGGATATGTAATGGAAAGTTTGTAACATCCCCGTTTTGACTTACGATGCAGAACACAGCCGACAATGCAGCAACTTCAATGGGATCACCCAGTGGAGTTGCTGTGCCATGAATTGTGACTGAGGAGAGCCGTTCCGTATTTGCACGGGTGGCAGCAATTCGAAGGAGCGCCTGTTGAGACGCTCCATTCGGAGTGGTCAGCGAACTACTTCGCCCATCTTGATTTACTGCCGTTCCGGCAATGCCGCAGCGGGCATGTGTGGCTAGCATAACGGTTGCCACATTCGATATCAAATCACTTAAAGCACGCACGACGAAAACAACGCATCCCTCACCTCGGCCGTAACCATCCGCAGTCATGTCTAACGTCTTGCACCGGCCAGTTGGTGATAAGGCCCCGAGCTGACATATCTGTGCATGGGTGTCTAGCAGAAGCATCAACGACACTCCTGACACGAGCGATGCGAGATGTGTACGCATTGACTCATGACCAAAGTGCATAGCTACCATGGAAGATGAACATGCAGTATCAATTGCTGCACACTCACCTCTCAAATTGAGTGTAAATGATACACGACCAGCAAGAAACGACAGGCTAGAACCTGTTGTAAGAGCTGGTCCAAGGTCAATTGAGAGGACATTGGTGACAACATGTTCATATTCCTGCCACATGCAGCCGACGTATACAGAAATTGTGTCACTGCATGATGGAAAAATTGCTTGCGAATACTTTTCACCACCGATCAATGCTGTCATAGCATGTTCAGTTAGCAGGCGATGTGTCGGATCAATTGCCAGTACTTCTGCGGTGCCCATGCCAATTACATCGGGATCACATTCTCCCACATGGGCTTGGAAGAATGCAGCGTGTCGGACAGTGTTGACGTTGCTTATGTTGAAGTTACCTGTATGGTCAACATACTGGTCGATATCCCATCGAGTCATAGGCACCGAGGTCTGAGGATCATTCATACCAGAAGGATCAGTCATTGGCATAGCAGGTAGTGCCGAAGAGTGACATGCGACCACAGTCGGGGGAGTATCTTCTTTGACCATGGCTTTATTGTGGATTTGGTTATGGATAGAACCGCTCACTCCACTTTGAGAACTTGAGAGGTATTCTGCGATGGCACCAACTGTTGAGTGGTTGAACACTAACAACGATGGCAAGCTCTTCCTAAGCAAGGCGCTGAGTCTTCTGGCAAGTTCCACTGCGGCTGCAGAGTGCAACCCGACATGGGCTAAAGGTATATCCTCTGTCTCATATAGCACTGTATTTGAAATAAATGGCACGATGTCTTCTATTTCTTTGCGTATCATTTGGACCAGTAGTGCGCGGTTTGGTAGCGGAATGGCTAAATCAGGCTCCTCTGCCTCCTTCGCCAAATCTAGAGCTCGTGATGATTTCGCTGCTGCATCACGCAACAACTCCTTCCGTACCTTTCCAGTGCTCGTTGTCGGAAGCGCTTCCACAAATAACACCACGTGCGGTAGCTTATACGATGCAAGCGTATTGCCACAGTGCGCTAGCAACTCACGCTCTGTCACGTCCCGACCTGAATTTTGTGTTTTTCGAGTAACCACTGCAGCCTCGACAAGTTCACCAAGAAGTGGATCGGGTCTGCTGTAAACCGCAGCCTCAATGATGGCTGGATGCGAGCGCAGGGTCGTTTCAACTTCATGGCAGAAGACGTTCTCCCCGCCCGTTATGACAATATCCTTAACCCGGTCGACCACGGTGATCCAACCATGCGCATCCACAACCGCAGCATCACCAGTGCGAAACCAACCGCCGGATTCAAATGCACCTGCAGATGTAGCAGCACAAGGGGCTTGGAGATTCGAATCCCAATAGCCTTCGAAGACTGTTGCGCCACGGATGAGCACCTCACCGACTTCCTCACCATCGTTGTGCACCAATTCAAGATTGGAATCAGACTGATTCTCTGCTTCTTTTCCTGACAAGTTTTTGTCTGCTACACTGATGCCAATTGGTCGGCGAGCAACAATAACCTCAACTCCGGTTGCTGCCCTTCCTGCACGCGATACAAAAGATGCCTGTATGCGAGCGGGCAAAGCGCACAAAATAGCTTCCTCAGATAACGACGTTAGAGATACACACACTCGCCCACCTGCTTCGGTCATACCATAGTCAGTGAAGTATACCGTGGAAGGTGCAATCGCGAGGAACATTGCAACAAGTTCAGGATCAATCTCAGAACCACCGCAAGAGACAAGCCTTAGTGTGCGAATATCGTCTGCTGGACTGTTACCGCCAAGGTGGTCGAGGAGCAACGCAAGCTGCATTGCTGTCATTGCAGTTGCCGTCACACGTCTATCAGCGATGGCATGCACAGCATCAATAGCGCAAAATGTGATTGAAGTTCGTTTCGTTGTAGTGGGAGCTGCAATAGTAATCTGGTTGGCCCCAACAAATACACCAGCGTACATAGCAAAAGCATCCATCGCATGGTACATAGGCGCGGCATGGAGCCACACATCCGTAGCTATGAACCCGCACATATCTACTGCACGCCATGCGTTTACTGAAACCTGCCACTGGGTATGGACAACCCCTTTTGGTCGTCCTGTGGTGCCACTTGTAAACATGAACTGGAATGTATTCGATGCCAGTTGTGCAGATGTTGCCTTTGGAAACCACGGTAATGCTGAGGCATTCGAGTTATCTACGAACTCAAAGTCAGTAGTATCGAGAATCAGACGGTACTGGGATTGTTTCCGAGAATGATGCTGATCGTTAGGAAACGAGGTGCCACCCGTGAAAGTGCTTTCGTCTCTCCTATGGCGACTGAGTTGGTCGTGAGGAGCCCATAAAATGACTATTTGTCGGGAGTTCAGCACACAGTCATCGAGTGCCTCGCGCACGACATGCGCGAAGGTCTCATCTGCAATGATAACATTCGCTCCAGAGTCGGCAATTTGCGTGCGAAGCTCTGTTGCGGTAAGCCGCGTGTTGCAGCTCACTGCAATTCCACCTACACCAGCAATGGCAAATTGCGCAACAACGTGTATTGGTGCGTTTCTCAACATCACCGCGACTCGGTCGCCGCGCGTCACGCAGCCATCAGTAGAGAGCACAGCGGCAAGCGCGCATGTTTCGTGGAGCAGCGTTCGAGGGGAAAGAGATGCCGTGACCTTGCGTTGCTCACGCGACACTTCCTGGATCGCAGAGAAGGAGGCGGAGCCGCTGTCAGACGTTTTGACCTTTAGCGCGTGCCACAGACTTCCCACTTCCTCTGCTCTGGTAGACACGGGGGGCATGGGTATGCGTGCCACCCCGGTTGACGGCGATGAACGCGACTTTGAGCAAGGGATATTATGTCGCTGCGTCATGACTCGTATGACTGGTCAGTGTGCTTGGAAGTTGCTGTTGCCTCCTGCCTTTTGTTGCGCGGAGGACGGCCGTTTTTATTGTCGCTCGTACGAGGACTACAGTGTATGATTGCCACGATATGCTATTCTATTGTACAGTACTCGTACACGCGTAGATCAGGATACGAAGTGCTACGTGCACTGTACTGTACATAGTCTACCATAGGGCCTACTAGGGCCTACAAGCTGCTGCCAGGGCTAATATCTTCGTACCTTCGTACGTAAGGAAATAGATACTTTCGTACGGAAGTACTTTCGTACTTTCGTACGAAAGTACGAAAGTACTTTCGAAAGTACTTTCGTATTCGATACAGGTACAGTATGCTACGTGTACACCCTTGATTGGGTTAGAGCTCAGTCTTTTTGTAATCAGATCTACACACACATGATAAGAAGAGTATGAAGATAAAACAACTTTAGGCAGTCCTCTACCTTCGAAGGAACTTTCGTACGAAGGTACAACGTTGTACACGTACTGTACAGTGCGTAATTCGAAAAAAACCAGCAAAGTGTACTCGTGACAAAAAAAAACGCGTACAAAAGTGTACACGCGAGCACCCGCGCTCGAAACCTATCTCCTTCCTCGAATGGGATCGCGGCGGATTTTGTTTTGCACCATCGCGTTCCAGGCATCAACGCCGAACTTGCCGAGCCGTGGATTTCGCGTTCATGCTCTCTGCCGCGAGAGGGGTACGCGAACGTCGCGAATCGCGATTTCGGGCAAGATCTACGATATCTTCGCGACGCGCGCGAAAGTCGAAAAACCCCGGCTCGGAGCTGTGCGCATGCCTTAGAACTGTCATCGTGCAAAGTTTCGCGCGAAGACGTGCATCGCGCGCGGAGGAGATAGGTTCCGCGCGCGGGTGCTCGCGCGTACACTTTTGCACATGTTTTTGGTCACGAGTATAGATACGTTTTTTTGCTGGTTTTATTCGAATTATGATACGTACGAAGGTATCTTGACTACGTGTACGTGTATTGTACACGTACACGTACACGACTACACGTAGTGTGTAGATCTGATTACAAAAAGACTGAGCTCTAACCCATCCGGGTAAAACATGTGATCTAGAAGCGAGCAGACCGCACTACGAACAATCCTCTCACGTAGTAAGCAACCCCACGACGGGATTCATGGAACTCACGTAGTGTACGTGTACCTTTATCTTTAATGTACTTGTATTGTTCGAGATATTCTACAGTACACATATTCTACAGTACACGTACACGTACAGTACATTTATGTTCACTTCCGGAAGTACAACTACAACGTACGTGTACAGCTGTACACTGTACACCGTTGTACGAAGGTACGAAAGTACTTTCGTACCTGCGAAGATAATTGTACGAAAGTACCTTCGTACCTTCGTACCTTCGTATGATACTTTCGTACGAAAGTACTTTCGAAAGTACTTTCGTACGAAAGTACTTTGAAAGTACTTTCGTACTTTCGTACGAAAGTACTTTTGAAAGTACGAAAGTAGTTGTACTTTCGTAGGGCTACGTGTACACGTACTTTCGAGAGTTTTATGTTCTTTACCTTCGAAGTTACCTTCGTACTGTACAATAATACAACGTTGTACAAGTACTGTACTGTAGTTGTACACGAACGGCCTACCTGTTATTGTAAAGCTGTACAACGCGGTGCGTGTACAGCTGTACGCTGTACTTTCGTACACCTGTACAGGCTGTAAACTACTTTCGAAAGTACGAAAGTACGAAAGTACTTTAGTACTAGGCCTACAGTATCATATTTTGCTTAAGGCAGCAGGGAAGGGCACACACAGTGTGCTAAAAAAGGGCTATTACTCTTTTCCCACGCTTTGAAACTCGTGCACAGGCGTGCTCGCTTCCTAGCGTAAACGAAGATAAAATTCACATAGACCATGCCCAGTGTCAGCGCACTTCGCAGTATTGCTCGCACCGTTTCAAACTTGGCGACAACCTCGTCAGCTTCAGTGTCACGAACCCATATTGCTGCGACGGCCAAGTCCGTTGCCGTTTTGTCGTTCGGTCTTTCCGGCGGAAGAAGGTACTCAACTGATCTAAAGACTACCCTAGCTGCGGCGATTCCAGCCATGCGGGAGCGTATGCACAAGATAAAGGCGAGCCACGGTGATAAAATTATGGGTGAGGTAACTGTGAACATGGCACTGGGAGGCATGCGAGGCCTTAAATCCATGCTGTGGGAAACCTCACTGCTCGACTCTGAAAATGGCATTCGCTTCCGAGGTTATACCATCCCTGAGCTCCAGAAAAAATTACCCACTGCGAAGCCGAATGGCGAACCCCTACCTGAAGGTATACTATGGCTTCTTCTTACTGGTGAATTGCCCTCGAAGGCGCAAGTAGACAGCCTATCTGCAGAACTTAGCAGCCGTGCTGAACTCCCTGAACACGTCCTCCGTGTCCTGGATGCACTCCCAGCCAAAGCTCACCCCATGACGCAGTTTACCTGCGCTATTATGGCCATGCAAACTGAGTCTAAATTTGCAGCAGCATACTTGTCAGGGATGCACAAGTCTGAATACTGGGACCCTGTGTTCGAGGACACTCTTGATTGCGTTGCCAAGCTTCCTGCCACTGCAGCTGCAATCTATCGCCGCTCCTTCAAAGATGGCAAAATCATTTCGCCAGACCCGGCATTAGACTGGGCTGGTAACTTTGCCCACATGATGGGCTACGGGGACGAAGGCACTAAAGAACTCATGCGACTTTATATGACTATCCATAGCGATCACGAGGGAGGCAACGTGAGCGCGCACGCAACGCACTTGGTTGGCTCAGCGCTTTCAGATCCTTTCTGTTCTCTTGCGGCAGGGATGAACGGACTCGCCGGTCCTTTACATGGCCTCGCAAATCAGGAGGTGCTCAAATGGCTCAATATTGTCGAGAATGAACTCGGAGATGATTTATCCAGTGAAAAGATTTCCGAACTGGTGCATTCAACTCTCAATTCAGGCCGCGTCATACCTGGCTACGGCCACGCTGTACTGCGCAAAACAGACCCACGTTACACGTGTCAACGCGAGTTCGCTATGAAGCACCTCCCTGACTATCCTAAATTCAAACTTGTCAGCAAACTGTATGAGATAGTGCCGACAATCTTAAGTGAGACAGGCAAAGTGCGTAACCCCTGGCCAAATGTTGATGCCCATTCTGGTGTTCTCCTTCAATACTACGGAATCACAGAGGAGAACTTTTATACAGTCATGTTTGGCGTGAGCCGTGCTTTAGGAGTGCTTTCACAACTCACCTTAAGCCGTGCCATAGGACTTGCGATTGAGCGTCCGAAGAGCATAACAAGTGAGTGGTTAGAAGAAAAGTTTGGAAAAGTGTAGTGCTTTGTCACCCAAGAATAAACGTCTCATGTGGAGAGCTGAACAGGAAGAGCATGATATCTACATTTTTCAGGTGCATTTGCATTTTATAGATTGAACTACAAGAGAAATTCCTCGAGTATAAATTTCTCGAGCTAGAGAGTCTGTCCCTGGACAGGTGCTCATGTAAGAATATCATTCTATTGCGCTACATAAAACTAGACTATTTTGTGCCAAGCAGTAGGTGATATGTGCTTTTGATCAGAAAGTCTGGCTACTCATCATTTTTGAAAGAAAATAACGCGTACTGCTGAACGGAGTTCAATGCCATTCATGTCAGCAATCTTCTATATCGTCTCGTTCCCCAGTTGAAGCGACAATGTTTTGCAAAGTAATGTTTATACGAACCTGTTGGGAAGAGTCATCATTTAAAAAAGGTTCTGCCCGAGAGCTTCTGTACACTATACCGGAGGTGTTGTGCCAGCTGTATGCCTCTTTGCTGACCACCTCACCAGACCAAGAAGCATGGCGTGCTGATGCGGGATACTCTCTATCACGCCTGGCTGAGCACTGTTCATCATCGAAATTTGTCCATCGAAATGGAAGATACGGCACTCTCATGGTTTCCTTTGGAGTGCATAGAGCAATGACACGAAGCATAGGAAGTGTCTCCACTGCAGCAGCAAGATTAGAACTGATAGAGAAATCTTCAGCAATAAAAGCACGCAACTCTTGCATATTTGAAGCAGTGACACGTGTCGCCTTAACGCCCTGCGGGGCTCTGAGCTGGTGCCAGCGCCGAGGGGTTGCGTGTGTGGATGAAGGAGCAAAAAAGACGCCGCGAGTCGACACTGAACCAGCTGCAAGCTCTCGTACAGATGTTGGAGCAGTCGGACTATCACCTCTATCGAATTGAATATGGGAGCTTAAGCCGCCGCGATCATGGCCACCAAGTCCTTCGTTAGTTCTCTTCAGTAGAAGGACAGCATCGGAAAGATATCTAATACCCAAGGCTGCATCCTTCACAGCTTCATTTGGTAAGAAGTCCAAGAAATTCTCATAAAGAAAAGATGTTGCTGCCACTGCATTCAACTTAGACTTGAAAAGGATCCACTCAGGATCGTTCGACAGAGGGTGACGTTGTAGTTGAGGGTGGACACAAAACGGGCCAACATCGTTTCCGAACTGCAAGATGCAAGAAGTGCTTTCTTTTGTAGACACGAGACTAAACATGCCTTCAGCAAATCCATCAAACTTAATTCTCTTTGACTTCAATTTTTTGTCGAAGGAGTTATCCGAGAAATTCGTTGGCGCCTCAGACATCGATGCCTTTGTCACTGGCAAGCAACGTTTATTGTACAAAACCTTACCAAGAGCATGAAAAGCTGACAGAGCATGATCTCGACAAAAGTTTCCTTTTTCAGACACCTTCAAGTTGTCTCTGCATTCTAATAACCTTACGCTCCGTATATCATCATCACCTGCTAATGATGCGCATGCTTTGATCTTCATCCGGTTCATATCTGCTAGCGCAAAGTGGCTTTCCTTTGACTGCACGCTGACACCTTTCACTCCACACGCAAGAAGCTGTAGGCTTGTGATCGCACACCGCACATCCCCTTTCGACGCAATTGCTATCTCCATCAGTTCAACAGGACTAAAGGTAAGCCGTTCAGCGTGTGCGATTGACGTAAGCGCTTTCACCAAACGTGTCACGGTGCTAGAGTTGAAGGACAAGTACCGAGCACCTGCACTTACCATAACACGGATTACAGTACTGATACCTATAGAATAGTCTTGCAGTTCACCTATTCTAGATCCTAAATCTTCCTCGCTGAAAACTATGGCTGTTGGAGTGCGGCTCTCTCTTGTTAAACGCTGCAAAAGATCAAGCACATGTTGCTGCTGCTCTTTGCTGCCGCGAAGAGGAACATCTTCAACCAGCAAAATAACGTCTGTTTCGTGTCTTCTATGTTCTTTCTCACTGTTCAACGACATAAAAGGGATTGACGAAGGTGAAATCTGTGAAGCCTCGAGTTTCAGAAGAGAATATTTAGATGCTCGCGCCACAAATGACCCAAAATCATCTACCTTTGAGCTATAATTGGTGTCCAGTGCACTCATGTGTTTGAATTCCTTCCACAACATTGGCACGGGTGCATTCCATTCCCTAATCTTGATTTCAGCCTCTGCAGCAACAAGACGCAACGCAGCAGACTTGCCGCTGCCGGCTGGACCTACCATAAGTAATACCTGAGGAGCATCGGGTTGTCGACAGTTCCACAGCCACTCCCGCAGGGAATCCAATTTCTTTTTCGCAACAACTATGTCTGACTCATTCCTATAACCACGTCCTTAGTCCGTTAGTTTAAGTATGAGCTTCGAAAAAAGCCACTCAAGAAAAAAGAAGTAAAGATTGCGGCTCGCGCACACGATCAATCCGAAGGAGACAGTGGGTTGTCACGAGGATTACCTTGGTTTATGCTTCGAGATCCACGATTGCATGGCTTGCTTCGCGAGTTTTAGAACTGCCCGACCACAACGACGTGTCTACTATCTTACAGGTACGTGACTGCTACGTGTACACGTACAGTACACGTACGTGTACAACATTGTTACCTATGCGTTGTACACCGTTACTGTAGGGCTACAGTGACGTCGTATCATAGCTAGAGTAGTGCTAGCTACATAACGTGTACATAAACGTGTGTGTACTTCCAGAATTGTACGAATGTACGAAAGTACTTTGAAAGTATTTCTCTCATACGAAAGTATAGATACCTTCGGAAGGTACCGAAGGTAGTACGTGTACGTGTACGCACGGAAGTACGAAGGTACTTTCGTACTGGAAGTACTACAGTACTACCTTCGTACGTTGTACGAAAGTACGAAAGTACTTTCGTACGTGTACATAAACATAGTTGTACAAGTGTACGTGTACGAAGACACCTTCGCGTGCGAAGGTATGACAAAGCAGGCCAAAGTAGTTATTAACTCGAGCGTACTTATTTAAAAATAACTTCCGAAATAACTACCTGTCGCGCGCGCGGCTCGTGATGCGCCGCGCTGGCTGAGCCGGAAGAAGAAACGACTGAAACCCGACATGCCCTGGACCAGGACGCCGACGAAGAGACACCTCCGGTGTCGAACACGTGGGAACGTTGTCTCAATGCCGCTTCTAAAGCGCCGAACGTGAGCGTGTTCGAAAGGCACACCCTCGACAACAAGGTATTCAACAAGCCGGTCTTCTCTGCGAACACGATCAAAGAAGTCAAGACTGGTGAACCTCAAAAACCTCGCGCTGATATCATATTGAACGCGTTAACCAATCCCACCCCGACGTCAAACATTTGTGGACCAGAGAGTGCGGCGCTAAAAAAGATCCGAAAGAAATTACTGACGACAACTAGACTATTTTCTGCGCGATGCATCTTGCGGACAACCCTAAACTGAAAAATAATAAAGTGTTCGCTTGTCTCTGACACAAAGGAATATCTGTGTACAACACCATGGCGCTAGGTGGGCATCTTCACCTCGAAAGAAGCGTTGGGCCCACATTTATTGGCATCGTCGCTTGTCTGACGAGTATTGAGTGATCAGTGCTGTGAGAATGCCCGCGCCATATAGGAACAGTTCCATTCGCGCCCACCCGACTTGTTGGCGGGCCGCGGGGTGTCCTTTCATGCCCGTTAGGCCGCCGGCAGGGCCGGAGGCGCATGCGCGCGGAGGCCCTGAAGTTATTTCGGAAGTTATTTTTAAATAAGTACGCTATGCTCGAGTTATTAATAACTACACATACTTTGGCCTGCTCTGTCATACCTTCAAGGTAGATAGCTAGCTAGTTAGCTACCTTCACGTACGTGTAGATACTTTCGAAAGTATTTATCTTCGTACCTTCGTACTTTCGTACTGTATGTAGCTATGTAGTATGTACCTTCGCGTACTGTACACGTACTTTCGTACCTTCGTACTTTCGAAAGTACGAAAGTACTTTCGTACGTGTACTTTCGAAAATAGTTCTGTACACGTACGTGTACAGTACCGGAAATATGTACGAAGGTACCAAGATAGATTTACGTGTATTTGTAGTGTACAACGTACGTGTACATGTACAGTACTCTACTTTCGAAAGTACTTTCGAAAGTACTTTCGTACTTTCGAAAATAGAATACTTCCGTACGTGCAATGACTACACACGTACGTGTACAAATACATGATGAGTATTCTAAAACAACTAACTTAATCTCCATATTATAAAAGTCAACTTAGTGCGGCAGGGCGCGGTCCATGTCGAAGTGGGGGTAGAAAACGCAGTTGAGAGTGGGGGTAGTCTAGAGTATCTTCTTGATACAACAACGAACATACTTTCGAAAGTACCTTCGAAGGTAGATATTTGAGTGATATTTGTATGAGAGAAGAATTAGACAATGTACATGTAGCCCTACGTGAGTCCTACGTGTACACGTACACGTGTACAACGTTGTACTTTCGTACTTTCGTACTTTCGTACTTTGTACGTGGAGATTTTATTTTACGTGTACTGTACAGTACCTTCGGAGGTAACAACTTACAGTACGTGTACTGTACAACTGTACACAAAAACTGAGTTCTAACCCATCCGGGCAAAACATGTGAAGTTTGTGAACATCAGGTAGCAACCTGGCTAGCAAGAAAAAACGACCGGGAGTCGCTGAAAAAACTCGCGAGGCATCCCTTGGAGTCCTCCGACGGCACCATCCAGGGGGTAGTTCATCTCATCCGACGAGGCGGCAAGGTCGCGAGCGTAAAAGAGGTTGGAATCCGCTACTTCGACGTTGCTGCGGCGCTCCCGGAGGAGGACATCTGCATCTTCTTCACGCTCACTAGCTGTGACGCGTACACGTACAGTACACGTACGTGTACAACACAAATAACCCCCGTTCCGAATACTCAGCTCGTTGTGCAACGTTAGTGTACAGTACGTGTACATGTACAGTACGTGTACGTGTACGTGTACAGTACGTGTACGTGTACGTGTGTAGATCTGATTACGTGTACGTGTAGTTGTACCATCGGTAACTTCTTCAACGCGCTTGGCAACAAGACTGGAACAAGTAGCTCCCGTCCGCCAGCACCGACGACCATCCTGGCCATGAGCGAAACTTGCCTGCTTTCCTGTTTTTCTGGCAGTGCTGTCGATCTGACATGCTCAAATCAGTGTTACACGAGGTAGGTGAATACAAATACGGCGTGCTATTTCTGAATTCATACTTCTTCTTCTGCTTGCAGTGCCGGCTGGGTAGTCGAGGAAACTGATACCACGACATCATCAAATACAACCGTAAATATTCTCGTTGCATGTTTACTCTTGCTGCTTTCTGGCCTCTTCAGCGGCCTCACCCTCGGCCTAATGAGCCTGGACATGGTTTCGTTAGAAATCTTAGCTGAAGGTGGTGACGAACAAGAGCGTGAATATGCAAAGAAGATAATTCCTATACGCTCGAAGGGGAACTTGCTTTTGTGCACATTGCTACTTGGAAATACGATGGTAAATGGTAAGTCTCTAAAGTGAGAACTTTTTGGCTTTCCAAAACATCTGTGTCTCACGTTAACCCTGTTTTTTTGTGCCTCAACTGTTACTTTCTTTCTGCAGCTCTGATAGCAATCCTAATGGCCAATTTGACGGACGGGCTAGTAGGCCTTGCCCTGTCGACTTTGTCGATTGTAGTGGTTGGAGAGATTATCCCTCAGGCCGCGTGCTCGAGACATGGACTTTTTATCGGCGCTAACACTGTTTGGATTGTAAAGATTTTTATTGTACTCATGTACGTTGTAGCTTGGCCCATCAGCATGATTCTCGATCGAGTTCTTGGCCGCGACATTGGGCAAGTTTACTCTGCCGCTGAGCTCAACAAGCTTATTCGGATTCATGTCGAGAACCCGGATGCCCAAGAAGAGTCCGGCTTAAATAGAGAGGATGGTAACCTATTAACTGGTGCGCTTGAGTACAAAGACAAAAAGGTCGCCGATGTGATGACAACTCTTGATAAGGTTTTTATGGTAGAGTCGCATACTAGGCTTACCTTTCAAGTTCTCATCGATATTTATAAGAGTGGTTTTACCCGAATTCCAGTGTACGAGAATGACAGGCAGAACATTGTGGGTATTTTATTTACAAAAGACCTCATCCTTATTGACCCTGATGATGAAGTTGAGATCGCTGCAGTTATTAGCTTCCACGGCAACCGTGAAGGAGGATTCGTAAGAGGCGTTCCCGATAATACATCTCTCGACAAAGTTTTCCGCGAATTTAAAAGTAGCTTCTTACACCTACTTGTCGCGTATGGCGAGATTGGTAATGATAGTGATATTAAGCTGGATGGTGACGTTGGAATCTTACAAGAAGTTGGTACAAATAAGCCTTTTAGCAATTATACTCTGACGAACACACATACAAATAGTCGACGCATAGTCACTGGAGTCATTTCGCTTGAGGATGTGCTCGAGGCAGTTATAAAAGACGAAATAGTGGACGAAACTGACAACTTTGTGGATGTAAATAAAACAGAGACGGTAGTTAGAGGCCGTGGCAATAACCAGCGGCCTGACCCCACAAATTTCTTGACTTTGTTCGAACATAAAATACGGGACTATACAAAGCTTAGCGAATCAGAGACAGCTGCAATCACCGCTTTTTTGTCATTAAATGTTGCAGAATTTAAAAAGCTGGCTCGTTTCGGAGGCGTGCTGAAGAACCTCATCATGGCTTCTCAGGTTGAAGAATGTGATGGCAATGAGTTGAACTATGGATGCAAGGCTGCTTCGTTGGGTGAAGAAAAGAGTAAAAGGAACGAACTTGTTGCATCAGGTTCACAAGCCATGACTCGATCTGCACGCTCTTTGCCCACCTCTGCTGGTGGTATTTCTGCCGGTCTCGAAGGATTCTCTGTTTGTTTGGAGGATGGATGCAATACTGATGAAATTCCAGAGCTCCCCCCTCTGTATAGAAAGGGTTCATCCTGCGACTATTTCACGCTTATACTTCAGGGAAAAGTTTTGGTGCATGCGGGGTCTGATGACTTTGTGTCTGAGCTCGGGCCCTGGTGCTACATTGGTCAGAAAGCACTGGTCTCCGATGTTTTCATTCCTGACTTTAGAGCAACTCCTCAGGGTTCCTGCCGGCTGCTGTACATTCGGCGCGGTGACTATAAATCTGCGCTGAGGGCTGCCCAGGTAGAAGCTATGAGTGGTTCGCGCTCTTTGCTAGGCTCTAGGCATACGCTGGTCGCGGACAGCGAACCGGATACTCGATAAGTACCTACATCTGATGAGAAGTTCTTATTTTCTGGATTAACACGATAAATCAGACCTATCACGACCTTTGAAGGTACCTTCGTACGAAGGTTCATAACAAATACACGGCTACCTTCGAGGAAGTGTTTTAAAGTATCACTGCAGTACAACGGTACCTAGCTAGCTGGCACACACATCTTTTTTCTCCTGCAGTGAAAGAAACACCTTGGAAGATTTGGAATAGTCTGACAGTGTCTCGCCTACTTTCCGTAGTGTACCTCTAATATTATTCGTATACATAGAACTTTTTGACGTATCTGTTTTGCGGACAAATCGGGCAGCGGTGTGCTCCTCTTCTTGCATGCGAGCCCTATGTTTACGCTTCAATTTATTTCGAGTTGCACTTTTTTCGCCTGTTTCTAACTCATCTCGAGTTTTTATATGACCATGCATGTTAGCTTTTATACGGTCCTCCTTTTGCCGTCGGGAATTATATTTTGCACCTCGTCCATCTGCGTTTTGGTGAACTACAGGAGTAAAACCTCCAAGTTGAAGAAAAGCATTTATCTGCCCTGCAGTTCCTGAAGAATCAAGCAATTGCTTACCAGAAAAGTGGTAATGACCTAACTTATCAAGTTGCTCCCCAACAACTTTATAAAGGTAACGGGCCTCCACCGCACGCCCCGATCCAGCCAGCAGAGAAAACTCTTTGCATTGTGCAGCCGACGTTTGTGTGGTAAATTTATTGGCATAAACTTCTCCGAGGCCCTTCCTAGATTTTGTGTCATCAAGATCTTGCGCAGAGTTGTACATTGAGCTCCCTTCCTCGAGCTTCTCCATTGTATTCAAATCATCAAAAATCTGGTTCATGATGCGTGACTTGATAAGACCGTCGAGCCTGGCCGTAAGTGCTTCATCGTCTACTGGCTTTGGCGCACTCAAGTAGTCGAACTCGATTTCGTTTTCCAAGGCACTGCCCTTTTGCCGATTATCAGCTCGCGCTTCACCACGCAAGACCCAAGAATCCGGTTGCACGCACTCCTGTTCCAGTTCAATAATACGAGTGGCGAGCTTTTCCTGGTCTCCATCATATTTTGATACGAACTTTTGTGCAATATGAACAGTTGAGTTCTCACCATTTATTCCGTTTAATGAATGGGCTACCTTCGGAAAGCTGTCAGTGACAGGTTTACTGTCTGTAACTCGTTCTATAGGACCACATTTTATATCATCCCCCTCAAATGTTCTCGTCGATGATACATACGCTTTATTTTCGTGCAGGAAAAGGTCTTCATACATAATATCGTTATCCACCCTCGATACGCTTACCCTTTTCAGCTCAGCAACATGACGCACCTGCTCACTCAGGAAAATAAGCGAGTCCGGAGCGTGTTCAGATTCGTCCATGGGGACATGCTGTTCCGAAACTAACATCTTGTCATCGTCTTTTTCCTGAGATTCTGCATCCAACACGAAATTTGTCATGTCGTGCAGGCTGAAAAAGTTTCTACCTTTTGAATTCTCAACACATTTTCCGTTAACATGGCTACTCCTATCTTCCTTGGGAATATCTCTGTAAGACATGCTCGAAACGTCACAGCTGTCTAATTTCTGGAATTCTTGATGTTGACTCGTTTTCTGATTCGTTTCAAGGCTTTCTGAAATCAACGATTTTTTGCCCACATCTTTGTCAGTGCTTTCAACTTCCTCACCGAACAGGTCCAGCTCCTCCATAGTTAAACCAACTTTGCACAATACAGGTGCGATTTGCACATCTATTTGCATCCAAATTTGTTCAACATCCATACGACCAGCATAAAACGAGAATAATGAGGGAGCAACCCCTTTTAAAGAGCGACAAGACGCAACCAGTTCTAACAAACCCCTAGTCTCAAAGGGCGCCGCCGCCCAATTTTCAGGTGAAAGAAAAGAAGGGTCTCTGGCAACTCCATACTGAGACTTCCTCGTTTCACGGATTCGTGGCGAAGTATCGGCGTGACTCTGACAATCAATCGGAAATACTCTCGCTTTCGGAAGTCGCATATCGCGTTTCTCTGCCTTGTACATGGACTCTATTAAAAACGTTCGTTCTTTTCTCCTTCTCACACGTACGAAAGTACTTTCGTACTTTCGAAAGTACAGTATCAATCTTACTAAAAAAACGCTACTGTACGTGTAATAATATTTGTACGGAAGAATACGTGCGTGTACACGTACACATAGAATACGTACTGTACGTGTACAACATTACAGCTGTACACGTGTATGCGTGCCTGCTGTATTCTATCATTACTTCGGATAGAATATGATCGATACAGCAGTAGTATCTTGTACGAAAGTAGTACGAAAGTACGAAAGTATCATACGAAAGTACTTTCGTACGAAAGTAACTTACTGTACCTTCGAAGGTACTTTCGTACTTTATTAGTACGAAAGTACTTTCGTATTTCCGGAAGTACGGAGGAGTACACTACGTATTTCCACTACGTACGTACGTTTATTACTTTTGTACGAAAGTACGAAAGTACAACTACACGTACACGTACGTGTACAACTACCTCGAAGGTACATGTACACGTAGCTATTTTTACGGGTTCGTTCATCAACACTCGCTCATACTGTACAACTAGGGCTACACGTACGTGCACGTGTACATAGCTACATACGTACGGATAGAGCTCATCAATATCATTTCTTGTACGTACATACATACAGTAAATAAAGTACGAAAGTACTTTCGAAAGTACGTGTACTGTACGTGTAGTGTACAATGAGGTGGTACAGTACTTTCGACAGTTTTATGGGTAATGCGTGCTGCCTGCAAGCCTCCGACGCTAGCTGTGCATCTCGTATTGGCAGCATCGGCGGCCGCGCTTTACCACCTGCGCACGGTGGTAACAGCGTGAGCTCCATTTGCAGCGGTGGCCCTGGCGTCTTGATCACTGGCGGGCACGATGGATCCGCGGCGATGTGGCAGTGGTGCGTCGATGGCGACGCCGGCGACGTGGTGACGCACCGGTGGAGCGAGCACCCCGGACCTGTCACGCGCGTTGCGCACCTTCCGCTCGCAGGTCGCGTCCTCACGGGATGCCGCGACGGCGTTGTCCGCGCCTGGCCTTCATTTGACGACGACACGCCCGCGCTTACACTTTGTGGACATACCTTAACCGTCACCGGGCTTGACGGGTTAGAGGAGCTTAGCGCGGCGTGCAGTGGATCAAGAGACTACACCTTACGGCACTGGGATTTGCATACCGCTAAATGCGTGCAAATGGCAGCTGTGTCCCGCAATGTGGTAACAAGCTTGCGAAGGTGTCCAGGTGAATGCACAGTTGTACAATCGAGTGAGGACTTGAAAATCCGCACATGGGATGTTCGTGACTTCTCATCTGGGCCTTGTCAGACCTTAGAGGGTCACGTGAATATTCCCCAGTGCATTGACGTTTCTCCATGCGGTAGATATATCTTGAGTTGCAGCAACGGCTTCGAGGGCAGCGGTGGGTCGGAGGTTCGTTTCTGGGATCGGCGCACGGGGAAGGTACTACAGGAATGGAGAGATCATGACATGTCTGTTAATGGGTGTGTATTTCTACCACTACCGGTTATCGGCAATAACGATGGACGCATAGGGGCTGCCAGTGGCTGCTCGACATTCGACGAAACCAGTTTACAAGGTCGCCACCGCTTCACTACCCCAAAGGCGGACAAGTGCGCTGGTAGCGGTGGTTGCGTCAACAGTCTGGCACCCTGCGTTGTTGTGACCGCCTCAACCGACCGCACCGTACGCGTGTTCGACTATTCTTATCATCGAGCTTTACACACGCGCCGATTTGATGGATATGGATCATCGCGTGAAGCTGGACCTGTGCTTTGTTGTGCTGCGCTGGAGCCGCCGACGGTCTGTGCCGACAACGGGAAGGCCTACTTTGCTGCAGGCGACTTGGGAGGCAGGACACAGGTGTGGGTACTGAATCGAGAGGACTCGATGAAGACCGGGAATGTTCGGACGTTCGCGCACACGACAGCTTGATTTGATAGTGGAGTGGTTTACCACCTTGTAAATTTAAATATTGGTAAGGTAAACTCTACGTTCCGAAAGTAATCACAAGGTCCTACGACGTACACTTTTGAAAGTGACTTCTTCGGCGCGCTTCGGGAGCCGAAGAAAGTTTTCGCGCGCGCTATTTTGAACCGTGAGAAGCCCGAGACTTACAGTAGGCCTACGTGCGCCGCAGCACTTTCAAAATCCAGGCGCTAAAATTAGAGCCTCCGGCTTCGCCGTCGATGGTTGGGAGAAGGGGCGGGTCAGGGTATTTAGTCTGCCAAGTACGGAAGTTCGTGTACTGGTTTAAAAGTGGTTTTCATCGGAAGAGTTCATCGTCAGGTCCCGTGGCGCGTTTTTGCATACGGGGCGCCAAACGCATTTGTTAGGCTGAAATTTTTGTACATAGATCCGGAAAGACCCCTAGATGTGAGAAGATATCCCTTCTCCCAAATATGTATGGTACACGTAGCTGAGCCTTCGTACGTTGTACAGATAGATGTACACGTATGTACGAAGGTCCAGTACAGTATACTTTATTTATTATTGGTTCTTCGTTCATTCCGTCTATACTGTATTGGTCTATATATTATTGGTCCTTCATTCCGTATGTAGCTATATATACATGTACGGAAATACCTTCGGAAGTATTTCCGTACTTCTGGAAGTACACGTACATACCTTCGAAGGTACTTCCGGAAGTATCACAACAGTATGAAAACGAAATAAATTGCTAATTTAAATTATTAGCAACTACGAAGGTACTAAAAAAGTCCCACTACATGTACGTGTACTGCTACCTTCGTACGCAGGTAATACACTATGAAAATGGAACTGCTAATTTACTGCTAATTTACTTTTAGCAGTAAATTAGCAGTTAAACTGCTAATTTACTTTTAGCAGTAAAATTATTAGCAGCAAATTATTAGCAGTTAAACTGCTATGTTACTTTCAGCAGTAAAATTAGCAGTAAATTATTAGCAGTGAATAATAATGATAAAATCCAGTTATTTGCACGCGCGCGAAATACCTTCGCGTATTAAATATTAAATACGGAAGTACTTTCGAGAGTACCCGAAGGTACCTTCGAAGGTAGCAATAAAGCTAGCTACCTTCGAAGGTAGATAGACTATTATGTACGGAAGTACGAAGGTACTTCCGGAATGAAAATATGGATATAAAATGTATAAACAACTTTTCAATTAAATTCAATACCTCGCGTATCTGTTTATACACTGATATGATCGATCGTATCATCTAGCAATAATGAGCAAAGTAGTTGAATCTGTCGCGCACAGCATAAACGGGATTCTACTGACTCAGGATCTACCCAAGAGAGGTCGAGCTGGCCAACTTCAGATCTTCTAACAAGAGTTTCTCCTGTTTTGAGAGGCTCAGAAGGAGAATACGCACGCAAACGAGCATCTGTGAGGTCGTACAGCTCCTTCAGGTGACGTTTCAGCAAAATCATAATGGAAAGCAGAAAGGAAATGTCGAAATTCTCGCACAAACATAAGGCAGTGTGAGTTGGAATCAACTCTCCAGCAGAATCCCACGGTTTCTTGAGAGTATCCAGAAATGTTTCTGTAAGTGCTGATGCATGGAGCGATATGATACGATTTAGATGAAAGATAACAAATAAGACCTCATCGTTCATGGTGAAAGGGAGCGCAGCAGTAGCACTCGCAAGGAAGCACACGTAGGTGATTTCAGAGTTCACGACTTTCTTCTCGTATCGAAGCAGCACTGCATGAAGAAACTTGAAGCGCGCAGCACGACACGTGTTCACCAGCTTGTACAAATTTATGAAGCCAGTATTAATGTCATCAGCACTAGAAGCCCTGAGAACCTGACAGGGAAAAGAAGTTACGCAGTCATGACCTCGAGGATTTTGCTCGAGTAGCTGCACGTGGCGACAAACCAAATAGAGGAAAGATACTCGAGAACAAACAGTAAAATGAAAAGCAAATATTGGCACTCACCAGCAGGTCGACATTCCGCTGTCTCTCTTTTGCCATGCTCTTCACAGCTGATCGTATTCTCTTGCAGTAGTCGAATAACAACTCGAGCGCCAAATTTAATTGATGATCAAAAAATTCAGGGTGTTTGCCTCTTTGTTGCTTCAGCAGCCGAAATGCAAGCTTCCGCACGGTAACTACAGGGTCAATCTGCAATGCAATAAGCGGCGGAAAACAAGACATCGGGTGGACAAGACCTTGACGAAGCACTATTTCAACAAGGTGTAATGCCTTCAGGCGGACACTTGGTTCAGGGTCTGTAGAAAGTTCGATCACGTCGGACCAATATCGCTGCGCAACACCATTTGCGAGACTGTTATCATACTCACCATTGACTGTTTGCAAGTTTTCTGTTTTGCCTCCATGAAGATTGACCAAGCCGTCATTACAGACATCATCATGGCTGAAATATTTTGTCTGACTCGTCTGATCACCACGCACTGGGAAACGTATCAGTGCACGGGACTCCTCTTCTCGAAGATACTCCTCTAGATTTAGAAGAGCCTGCTCCTTCAGACCACATTCTGCAGACGTACTGAGAGCTGCACACATGATACCATCCATGGAACCCTTGCCAAAGTCACCTTTTGCCGAAAGCATCAAACAGGGACGAGAAACGAAGAGTAGACCGCATGCCCGCAGTGCGCTTTTCTTCAGGTCAAACTCTTGACGACTGGTCCGTTGCAGAAAACTGCGAAATATGTGCAGAAGACGAGTTGGGGACACTTCTCTATCGCCATAATTTTCAAACGTCTCAGCACCGAATCTTGCCAGGTGGCCGAGAACAAAAAGTGCGCGTGCCACATGTGCATGCTCTCCGTTGGATAGTTCTCGTTCTATGCATACTTCATTCAACATCTTTACAAAACGATAGCATATCTGTAAAGCACCAGGGAGTGCACCTGTGCCACTATCAATTTTGGAGGTGGAGCAAATACAGCGAGCAGCATAGTAGAGCACACCATGATACGTGCTGCGTAGTAAGAGACAGCGGAGGTCCTTTTCCAACTCACATGCACTAGAGAATGAAAGGCAGCCAACTTCCTCCACGACTGCATCGATCACTGATAAACAACACTGCAGCTGTATTGCATTAGCAGGATTATTCTCACATCTCTTGAGATAAGGATGTAACGCAGTGACTAATGCTGTCGGGTTGACATCACCAACAAGCAGCTTACGATCAGCAACACAAAACACGTGGAGACCAAGGGCATACCGTACTGCGCGGGGAAATGACAGCGTGTAGCTCCGTCGATCAAATTGAGTATCTTCGATCAAAAATGGAACTTCAAGAGCGTCTTCGCGACCGCCATCGTATTCTTCTTGCAGAAGCAACCCATTGAGGATTGCATTGCACATATCGTTCGCCCTAATTATGTCGATTGAATCTTTTGTTCCCTTCCTGTCACCTTTCCACAAAGTCGCTGCGTCATCTTCAGACGAGGAAAGGGTACGACGAAGTATTGCAACGATGGGAAAGGTGGGCAAAAGCGGAAGTTTTGCGAGTCCTGTCCGACTGACACTGCAGAAAACATCCCAGAGCACATTGACAAAATGTTCCGCACGCTCAGAGAGAAAATCTGTTGTTTCTGCATCAGTGAGTTGACAAACATGATTACTTGCGGGTAGTTGTGAGAGCCATAAGCCTCGAAAAATTCGGACAACAAGCTCCTGGACCCCAGTATCGTCATCTGAAATGCGAAAAGCGAGAGTGCGCAATATTTCTATCCTGATACTCATGTTTGGAAGCGTTTCAAGATAACTGTGTAAGATATTAATCACACGTTTGCGCACACTGACGCCAACATCAGATATGCGTTCAAGGATCGACTTATAGTATTGGTTTGCAAACTCAGCCTTGTGCATGTGTTTCCCAAGGAGATCGACTATTGATGATCGCACCATTGTGCCACTGTCAGTCATACGTCGTTCTATCGCTGACCGTATTTGTTCAACTCCTAAAATCCGGTGATCAGCAGAAACAACATTGTCGATAGCACGCACTGCAGCTGCACGCACAGTGATGGCCGAGTCATCTAGAGCCCAAATCAGTCGACGAAACAGAGTGTCCACTTGCTGAGCGAGAGGAAGGTGTCGACTAAAAGCACGGAATAGACGAACCGCAATCGCGCGTGGGATGGGATCACTGTCACGTGATCTTCTGTTTAAATCAGCTTCAGTTGATGAATTCAGGACTTCATACAATTTCTGATATGCCACTCGATAAGCACCAGGGCAAGGAACTCCTGAACGAAACCCGGTCCCATGGCGGTCTGCCTCACGTGCAAGCTGGGCAAAAAGAAATGTTAGAGCAGATTGTTCTGAGCTATTTAGCACCGGGTCATTTGGTCTCTGCATATGAACATAACGAAGAAGTATGGCCTCGAGGACAAACCTTTCCTCGCTAAAAGCAACTGGCACTCCGCAATGGTTTGAGGCAACCAGAGTTGTGGCCACATCTGCACGGGCTGCATCAACAGCCCAAGCAAAACCACGTCCACCAGTCATGCTGATATTTTGCTTAGTATTTCTTGCTAGATATCCGAGAATGTTGTCACTCTCACATGTTTTCGAATCATTTTTTAAGCGTGCTGAGATCTGCCCGAGGAGGTCAAGAGCGAATTCTCTGATTCGTATTTCAGTAGAGCAAATTCCACAGCTTGACAGTAGCTGGGAGCACAGACATAGTAACAGCAGACTTGCTACAGGCCATTCCGGAAACTTAAGCAACGTCAGTAAGTCAGTGACGAGGTTTTGGATTAACCCTTTAATGTCTATTTCTTGGTCCTTTGCAGACTGCCAGCTGTTGAGTAACTCCTTCCAAAAGGTATGACTCCAGTGGAAAGCTGGTGCATATCCTACTGTTTCAGTCTCACAAATCGAGCGTTGCTCATCTCCACCTGCTGCAAGCCCAGCAGAAAATGTTACACTGCTCTGAATACATGAAGCCAGTACCGCTGTAATCATCTGTATGCACGGTGTTTCATCGTCAGGGAGCATATACCTGCGGATGCCTCGACCACTTGAAGGCATTTTTAGTAACGTCAGCATCAAGTTATCCATGATCACACCACGGAGCTTCGGTTGGGTTCTAAATGCGGCAACAACCAGTTTAATGGCTTGATTTTGTAGAAGAAATATATTATCAATCGTGAACACAGATAATCCGAAGCTTGTCAGCTGCAGTGTAATGGCATCCGGCACACGAACAACAAGCAAAAGGTTAGCCAGTTGACCTAAGAGCATTGAAAGCTTCGAGCTGATGGAATACACCACCTTTGGAATGTTATTATTTGATGAAGAATCTATATCTTTTTGATGGCATCGAGACAATGACGCATTTTTTCGCCTTTTCTTCCTCTGAGTGGGAGCTGCCTGGCAGATGTCATCTTCACAGAAGCCAACTCCTTCATGAGCTCTGTGAATTTGATAGTGTGCCGCATCAAAAAATACGAATATGTTGTGGACTAGATGAAACCTGATATAATCCACCATTTCGTCGATCCATTCCTCCTGATAGAGCTCCTTCGGCATGTCATCTGCTCCAAGGATAAGTAAAGATATAGAAACAGCATCTAGGCCAACCAAAATATTTTGAGCTTCGATACTTGTCTCGTCAGAACTGCTATGTAGACGAAGGCCATTCGCTTGTTTCAGGTGTGCACTCAGCACAGTGAGTAGACGTGATAACAGTGTTGATGGAATGTCGGAAAGTTGTTTATCATTGGCGAGCGTTCTCGCTTGTGTAACCACGTCGGTCAAGTCCTCACAGCTCAGATAGTGTCTTTCAACTGATGAAAACTGTGAAGGTGTATTGCAAAGTGCAGCTCCATCAAATTTCTCAGAAATATTCTCGATAGTCTTCTGGAAGCTTCCTGCACAGATACATTCGGTGAAATGATATATTTAAGTGAGTAGCTTTCCAAGAAATATGATATGAACTCACGGAATGAATCCTTTTCTGCTGACCCACATGATCGCTCAACCATTCTAGTGAAGGATATTCCCCGCGAAGAGGCAAGCTGTTGGGTAGAAAGGTGAGTACCGAGGTGTTGTCAAGGCTTGTGAAACTCAAATATTCACAATACCTCGATCTTGACCGCATGATCTAAAGTCTTTAATGAATCTAGAACAGGCAACCGATTTAGAGGTAAAACTTGTCGAGGAGGATTAGCTTTCCTTGAAGGACGGTTTGCTGTTCAGAGAAGGTGACGATTCCGTAAGTGGCGTTTGACGGAGGATATCAAGGTAGTGATCGCATGATACTCACATGACACTCTGAGAATATCACGAAACTGGGATTTCAGTGTGCCGCTGATTTCCGTTTGGCCGCATGCTCCCGTAGACACGCGTAGAGTGCTTGATCTGCGAACAGCGTCACAAATCTAGGTTACGTGAACTTTTGAGTGCGACACAGAGCAATCTGCATGGATGAAAAACGGCAATCGCACTCACATATACGAGACGTCTGTTGCCTGAAGAATATCGTGCAGACGCTCCAAAAGTGGTTGGACAGAAGCCGGCGCCAGAGGCTCTTTGTCTGCGTTCCTTGACAACTCCACAGAAGAATATGGAAGAGAGTAATCGAGACCGAGCTCATTTAACCCCAAGTTCGCAAGTCGAGGTTGAGAGAAGATCATGACAATATCATGCGCGTAATTGGGACGGTCGGCTATCGAGACGGCGTAAATATCTGAAATAGGTCAGTGTGGAAAAAGGTAGATCTATTCTATCTACACGTACGTGTAGTGTAGCTACTAGCTAGAAGGTAGTACGTAGTTGTTTAATAAGAAGGTATTCTATCTATGAAGATAGATATCTACGTACTTTCGTACTTTCGTACTTTCGTACGAAAGTACGAAAGTACGTTGTAGTTGTACGGACGGAAGTAGTATGATAGATAGTTAGATACGGAAGTACGAAAGCACGAAAGTAATGATACTTCCAGAAATAGATATTAATAGAGTATTATTATGCCCTACGACTACACGTACACGTACTGCCATAAACAACATATGTGACACGTTGCTTGATACTACGTACTGTATGTATCTAGCATTGTATGTACGAAAGTACCTTCGAAGGTAGTCGTGTACTGTATGTAGATATGTAATAAAGTACGACAGTACGAAAGTACTTTCGTACCTTCGTAGAAAGTACGAAAGTAGAATATTTCTGGAAATACAAGTACGTGTAGGCCCTAGTTGTACGAAAGTACACGTACTGAAAGTAGTACACGTACCTCGTACTACTTTCGAAAGTACGAACGAAAATATCTTTTTTTACTTTCGTACTTAAAGTAGTACGAAAGTACTTTCGTACTGTACCTTCGTGCATACAACGAACGTAAACGTAGATAAAATACTTCCGGAAGTAAGTTGTTTATGTGTACAGCTGTACAGTACGTGTACACGTACTGTACGTGTACACTTTTTCGAAAATAGAATAATACTTTCGTACGAAAGTACTTTCGTAAAAGTACTTTCGTACGAAAGTACTTTCGTACACTACGAACGAAGGTATCTATTTTCGTACCTTCGAAGGTACTTTCGTACTTTCGTACAAGATATCTAGTTGTAGAGCTAGCTATCATACATACTGTATGATATAACAAAGTGTGTCATACTGTAGATAGATAGATTAGATAGTTTGAAAATAGTCGCAAGGTCTGTGACAGGATCTCGCGCTGCGCGAACGAGCGCTTCGTGTGTTGGTCCGCGCGAAACATGTCCGCCGGCGAAGCCAATTATATTACTATCATCGACAACTTCGCAGAGGTTGATGATGATGATGAGGATGAACACCCCGAATCTCCGTTATTTGTGAACGAGGTCCCTGGGTTCGGCGCGACTGCTACTATAAATGCCCGATGAACTTCGCGCGCACGAACGCCATGTGCTCTCGCGTGATTTTGCAGCCGGTGCTGTGGACACCGTGCGGAAGAGGTTCCGCTCGTCCCGTCTCGCCGACACTTTTCATCAGGTACGCAGCGGCTCGTTCACTCAGGCCGAGTACATGAACGTGGGAGATTTGGAGAGCGGAGTGACCCTGGTTCATCAAGTCACGGACGGTCGCGCGAATCCAAGTTGGGTGCGGTATACCGCGCCAGCGCCATCTCCCGCCTTGCCGATAGTCCGGAAATCGATCCGGGATGCGCGCGACGCCATGTTTTTTTGAAAGGCGCGGCATTTCGCGTCCGCGCCCGCGCCGCGCAAGCGACTTTCGCCGCGAATCTAATAGTTAGACTAGTTAGACTAGCTAGCTAGTTAGTTAGGTAGTTTACTTGGTCGTATCTGACTAATTATCTATCTACAGTATGACTTACTTTGTCATATGTGTAGATAGAATACATATGGCTAGCTAGCTAGCTAGCTACTCGTAGTACTTCCGGAAGTAGAGTGCTAGTACTGTAGTGTACGTGTACGCGTAGTCCCGCTGGAGAGTGAGATTAGATTGAACCCAGGTGCTCCAAGAGAGGGTGCTGGCTCGAAGTTTCCGTCTCGCACTCCGATTCGAACAGCAATCGAGTCGAGATCCATGTCAAGAACATACGCGACGCAGACACCTAGTCTCCTTCCGGACGGTGTCGAGCCTAGAGAGGTAGCTGAGAGGGTGCGTTTTTGTGCCTTTCCGTCGAGCACGGGTCTGCGCTGAAAATTATACCCTGTTTACGTTCTTACTACGCGGCTAGATCCGCTGTCATACCTGCAGATGTTCGCCAGTATTGCACAGAACGATCTTGTTACATTTTTAGCGTGCATCGCGAAGTCTTTCAGTGGGGCACGCGACGAAGGAAGCTTCCACTGCGCATCGTGGCAGAAAGGCCGAGACAAGCATCTTGAGAACGGAGCAGAATACGTTTTCACGGAGGAGATCGAAGCGGAGACGACCAGGACGCTCAAGTTCGCTCCACGTTTTGGTGCGGTGGCTGGATACGAGACTGGGAAACTCATGTGCTCAGAGGATGAGCGTGTGGTTGTGCTCATCTCTCGTGAACACTTGGGGAGTAACATTCGAGAATGGCTGAAGCCCAAGCAGTGGAGAGTCCTCGCGGTAGACTACTGGGATGAGAATCATATCAACGAAGTGTCAACGAAAGAGCAGCGGACATGAAGGCAGGACCATTTCGTAAGAAAGATTACTAGGTTGTTAGTTGTACGGAACATGCACTTTGTTGCGCTCATAGTTTAGACCGAACAGCACCTTTAACCAGTCGAGCGTGCAGTAGCTCGGCGTACCCAGGTGGAACATGCGACGCATTGAACGGTGCATCTTGAACCTCATCAAATAGACGCTGGTACACATCCCCGTCATGAGCCCCCAATGCTGAATTCAGAAAATAGTCGTCGAGCGCAAAGGAGTCAACCAAGGCAGCGGCATCTGGTCGCAGTTCTGTCAACAGAGACAAAACTTCGGCTCGAACTGCTGCAGCTTGCTCGGCAGCCAGGTAGCCATCTTCGATAAAGTCTGCCATGCGGTCTTCCATGGTGGCAAGTGCATGGAGAGCAACAAGTCGATCTAAAACTACCGCAGTGGAGGCACTGACGCGCGACTTCACATCAGAGACGGAGTCGGCAAAGTTGAGGAGGACAACATACTCGCAGTGTGCCTTTGCAGCTTTGATCCAAGCAACCATGTCAACACTGATAGCATGATCAGGTTTGGACGTTCCAGCCCGTCTTGCAAGCTCGAGCACTTGACGTCGTGATGCATGAGCGTAGGCTCGCAGCAGTTCACCGATGTGTCGGAGACCGACGGCTCGCCCTAGACGCGAGCCAAGCTCGACACCGCCGCTGCCCTCTAGGAGATAGCGCGCACTGCCTGACGTTGCGTGTGTAGGAGCAACTTCGCTGCTTTCTGCTCCTGAAATTCCACGGCGACAAGCGGCCAACTCAGCAGCCGCCCTGGCCACCTTGAGTAAGTACCTAGCCGTTTGTAAGCACAGCACATTGTTATCTCCCTCATATGTCGCGTTCGGAGCGTAATTCCCAAAGGTAGATCCAAACCCAGAAACAGCCATGAAGCCTTGTCCACCGCAGCTCAACCGGCATAACTCGATTGCGTCTTTTGTTGCCCAGCTACAATAGGCTTTCAGCCCAGACGATGTAGCGTGTAGCTCAGGAAGGCTACTAAAGTCACCTGTTGCCCTTGACAACTTTTCATACTTAAAATACATCCGCCTCATAAAGTCAGATGTGCAGTGGAAAGCAAAAGCCTTGGCTAAGATCGGAAACAATGTTCTCTGCGAGTGTTGGTAATCGATCACCTGAAGTTCCAACTCGGGTGTACTGGTGCCTTGTCCGGAATTTTTACTACCCGGATTCGACTGTCTCCTCACAAGATTGTACCGCGTCGCGATAGTCACCGCTTTTTTCATGTATAGAGCTGCATTCATCACGATATCGCTCCGCACAAATACCATGGTTCCGTAACTTGCCTTTGCAACTGGAGGTGGTTGATAACTTCCATCTGACTCAACAATGCTGTGCTTCATTAACATGGCGCGTCGTGATATTCTCACGTGGTCGAAACGCAAGAACCCATTGTCAACGGCATTGTATCCCATCTTGGGCCCCATGTCACCCACCACCACCCCGGGCATTGCCTGATGATCTTCGTTGCGGCGTATCTGGACAACGAATGCGTGCGGCCCGTGGTCTTTCCCTTTAGTCAGAAGACGGGCCATAACTATGGCATGCGTTGCTGTCTTACCCATTCCACCGGGCCACCACTTTGTGGACGTCAGCGTGGGAGAGTGGATAATGAACTCCTCTGTATGAGACGACCGGGGGGTAATACTTGTAAAATATAGTTTAGGGAACAACAAGGAAACGGTGAAACCTACTGACATCGGGCACGCACCCTTTTCCGCATCGTATGTCGCCGTCGTTTCAAGACCTCGTATGTAGGTTCCATGTCCTAGTTCAGTCTGGGCGTACGTCCCCACACACTGCAGCCGCGCGCACTTGGGCAACCAATACTTACGTTGCTCTGCATCACCTTGCCCTTGTATCGTTGGGATGAACATGCCAAGGTGTAGGTCTAGACCTCCTGGCTCGTCGATAAGTTCTCGGATAATGCGTCCAACAGCGATTGGGGATTTCTCGCCCATCTTCCGCACTAATCGTGGCAACGCGAGGTACTTTTCTAGCGTCGTGCGATACAGCTCCGAACGCTCCATGAAGTACTTGCCTTTCTTGCTGAACACCGGTTCGGTGCGCACAGCATCGGCGATGCGCTCGCGAAGCTTGAGCTCTTCTTCTCCACCTTGCATTAGGGCAGCGAGTTCGCGGCTGGGAAACGTAGCGGAGGTGCGCTCGCGAGCAAGGTCAGCTTTTGGATCCACCTGGTTCGCGCTAACCAAGTCCGAGGACGGTCGCTGGAGGTTTCTCTGCAAGGGGTTAGGCGGGAGACGTCGGTCAAGTCACTCTGATAAAGCAAGGAATATGCGGAGTTTCTGACTTCGGTAAACATACCGTACGTTCATCGACGACGCGATTAAACGTGGTTTCCTTTCGGCCCTGGACTGGCGAGAAAGCCATCGTTTTGGGGTGCAGTTTTCAGTGGAACGAAGGTACACGTACACTCTGCTGTACCTTCTATCCTATGGGGTCACTACACAGCTACTGCGTGCTGTACACGTACTGTACGTGTACACGTACTGTACAGTATGTGTACGCGTTTATTGTGAAGGCACAAGTGAATATTTACAGTACGAAGGTACGAAAGTACGTACCTTCGTACGAAAGTACTTTCGTACCTTCGTACGAAAGTACTTTCGTACGAAGATAGAATACGTATCTATTGTACCTTCGTAGGTGCGTAAGTGGTGCGTACACGTATAAATAAAGTTGTACACGTAGACATATGCGTACACTATCATACGTGTACAGCTGTACACGTACAACGCGGTAACGTCGTACGAAAGTACTTTCGAAAGTACAAAGTACTTCCGGAAGTAATATTTTCGTACCTTCCAACTGCTTCGTACACTGTTGTACGTGTACGTGTAGGTGACACTGCTGATTAGATCCGTCTATTCTCGTCCTCACGAGTTATGACGGCGCATGCGGCCAATTTTGTGCGCTTCGCTTTCATTGTATTCTCCTTATTTTTCAGAGTTGCGCTCGCGCACGACTTCACCGCAACCCGCGCGCATGTTATTCTCCACAAGGTAACTAATCCCAACGCTTCGCTTGGCCCGAATATTCATTTATCTATTGCCGCGCGTTCTCAATTTTTTTCTTCGCGTTCGCGTCTTCATGGATCGGTCATGCGGCGTTCCTCATGTAGTCATATTCCGCTACACATGTCCGGAAAATGCGATGCGTTCGATCCGTCGTTCTGGCTCCCAACTCATTCGTTCAATCAATTACATTCCAACCCAGGCTGTGTCTGCTGAGCCGTTAGTCCTTGGCCAGAACTTTACGGTTACCCTAACAGCCTACAACCGCGGCAACATCGATGCTCGATCCGTCGACATTATTGACGCGAAGTACGATCCTAACGTGTTCACGATATTGAACGGCGCGTCGTCAATTATGAGCGAGTTTGACGTCGTCGAGCCGGGTGAGAATGCGACTTTTTCTTTCGAACTTGTTGCAACACGCTTAGGTGTGTACACACTTACCCCTGCGGTAGTGACCTACCGCGCGAGCGATGGGGAGCAAAAAACACGCGGGACATCAAATGATGTCGAGAACTTGTGGTGCGTAACCGAAATGGATAAAAGTTTTGAACGAGTCTTCAGGATTGGCGCATATTTGACGTTAGGGTTAGCAAGAAATGCTGAGGAATGGAAGAAAGGCGCCAAGATAACTACTGGCGTGCTCAGTCTGTTAACTGTGAACTATGTTTTGCTTCTTTTAAAGCAGTTTCGGAAAGAGTGGGAAAGGCGCCGTGCGATAGTGTCGCTCACAAAATCGGACTGATACCTACAATGCGCATATGTGTATGCGTCAGATTCATGTTGGTGAATATAGGTGCGCACTCACTCTGGTTTGTTTATATATTTTCCCAGCCATGATCCGAGACGCTTCGTGTAGGGCCATAGAATATGAGCAAATGCAAAGATACAGTACATGTAGTATTCATATCATAGTACGTAGTACTTTAGTACCTTCGAACTATACAGTATATGTATACAAGTAATAAGTCAAGCAAATAAAGTACGAAAGTACCTTCGTACACATAGTCACATACTGTACATATGGCAACTGTATATATGGCCTACTGTACATAAAAAGTAAATCAGCACCCAGTGTCACCAGTGAATTTCGTGTAATACGTTGTACTCCTACTGGTATGACTTCTCAGTTAGAGCACGGTGGGGAATGGGAGGCAAGTATCACTTTTCTCCCCCAGACCAACAACATCCAATAATTTAAAAAGCTTGCTGAGCATCACCACGACCCTATTCCCCACGGAGGGTCCACGCGGTGTTGCATCAGTGACGCCGCGAGACAGTCACAGCAGACAGCTATCTACTGAGAGTAACGATGCCAATATCAAACGAACTTAGTTCATGCGATAATATATGGCACCACTCTTCGTCAAGAATCCGTCTCGGCACAGCAATTACGAGTGTTTCCAGTACTAGAATAATTTACCATACGATGTTCATTCCCCAATGTACCTACGTATTTACGTAGTACGTGTACTTCCGGAAGTACGAAGATAACAACACTTTCGAAAGTATTTTATTTCCGGACTCTCGAAGGTAACATTAAATTATGCTATGATATTAGTATCATCTATCTATTTCGCATACCCCCGAGCGAGGTTCTTAATAATATATATACAAGATCAACTTTCTAATGAAATTACTATCGAAATTATGTAAGTACTTCCGTACTTGCAACGGATTTATATTAAAAAATCGGGTGTTGTTGACAACTGCAAGTCACGAACAGGTGCCAAGAAACTCAGTCAAGTTATGTACCACAGGGTATCCCCTTCAGTTAATTCAACCATATCCACATTACGTTCCAGATCGCCAATATTTCCAGAGCCTTTTCGACGCTTAGACACACACACTACAATTGGAATTGGCCTCTGATGCCTAGCCTTGGGAATCTTGCCACCACTTGCCCATATGTGGCCTTCATGCTTAACGTTGTCAATGAAAACCAAAAAGTGATGAATTGGGACTTCAAGTGAAAGACATCTGCGGGAAATTTTATATACGCGTCCACATTTCTTTGGGTCAATATCTATGAAGGCCGCAACTTGCTTAAATGCTTTCAGACTAAGTGCTGACAGAAAGTTGCGACCATCACGTCCGGCACCCCAGACAGCGAAGCGAGACCATGCGAATGAAGACAAGACTCTGTATTCAAACGCGACAGCTCGTATGTGCAATAGGCGTTGGCGAGGAACACGAGTTGTCCCAGAACCTGGCGACCTTGAGCAAGGGAAACACAAAGTTGACAGACACGTCAATACTAAGTATGAGCATGGAGCAAGGTAGTCGCTCTTAAGCAGGTTCTCTTACCAGCGATATAACAACACGGGATCAGTCTGGCAACCTGCGCGAGCAAAAGATGGGAGACCACGGGAGAGATTGTATTGTCCACACAGGTTTAAGAAAGCATGGAAAAATACGAGGTCTTCACCCGAAGAGTAAGTGTGCACAACAGAACAATTTTTAAAATTAAGACAAGCTGCGTCAATTTCAAATGTAGTATATGCAATAAAGAACGCATAATGCTCTCGGCTCACCTCCCCGGCTTCGGGAGAGGATTCAACAAAACCCCCAGTAGAAAAAAAAATACTCCGTTCCATGCACCATGTTGGCATTTGAACAGTTGTCTCGCGGAACTGTTCTAGCCAAAGATCTGTGGGATCAGCAAGCGCATTTGCCCATTGCGCATAGTGCTTTGTCGAGCCATGTGGGAATCTCCTCCAGCAGCCACCGACAAGAACTGTCGAGCATACCCCTAGCAGTTGCACCTGTGCATGAACACGTCTTGGACGCAACACATCGTCAGCGTCAAGAAATACAAGGAAGTCGCCAACAGACTGATCGACGCACTCGTTTTTACTGTGGCCGATGCCCCCAGCTCGTATGTATTCATCACGGAGGTATGGTATTTGAGTGACTACGCAAGTCCTTTGCCATTGACGATCTGCTGCGATTACAGATAAACTATGACTACGGAGAATCGGTGTCCACGCGTGAATTATTTCGTCAGATCTGTCTGTTGAAGCATCATTGTACACGCTTATTTCTACAGGACCGCGATATGACTGAGTTATAGCGGACGCTAAGCATTCATCAAGCCATTCATCGGCATTGTAGACCGGTATGATAATGGATACCGAAGGAAGGTACGAGTCCAAGAGGATATTATTTTCTCTTCGCCATTCTCGGCTGAGAGGGGAGCCCGAGCCACGAAGTGGATTTAATCCTTCCCAGATAGCTGCAGTGGCTACACAGTCGGTGGCAAAAAGCACAGTTCGACTCAACTTTTCATTCCTGAGAGCAGAATACGCACATGTCGTTTGACTTCGAGCGAGGGCTCTGCCGCTAATTTTTGATAAAAACTCTTCAGTAAGAAGAGGCCGTGCTGATCTAGGGATACCTTTGCTGTAAGCGATGGCGCTATTTTGTTCTGAAAGCGGATCGCAAAGAAGACACGCCATCCCGTTCGCCATTAGTCTTGGTTCCATTGATATATTAGTTGTCCCACAGTGCAGTAACCAAGGGTGCATTAATACAACAGATCCACATGATCCAACAACTTGCTCTATGAGCCCAATGCGGTTTGATTCCCTATGTCGAAAGTCTCTTTTGTTGGTCTGCTGCAGTAAAGCACGTGTAGAAGCTTCAGAACAAAAACTCGCGACCTTCGAGTTCAACTTGTTGTGACGAATACCTCGTGGCACATACTTATATATCTCTCGTGCAACCCAGTGATGGCTGCCACGCAAGAACGCCGTGCCACCACCACCGGGTTTCCAATCAGACAAAAGTAAAAGTATCACCACACCATGACAAGGGTGCCCAACAAGGCGCCGCTGCCCGTCCGCATCAAAGCCAGGACCTATGTCAACGTGCCAGCCTTTACCTCGTACCCTGCGACGATTCACTGATTCCCAGCTTTCCCAGCACACCGATTGCTTATTTTTACCTGATGCCATAACAAGCTTGCTCTTGCGAACATCTTCATTACCAATGACACGTGCTTGCGAACATGAAGATATATCACCTGTCAAAGAGTCCTCTGGAAAAACAATAGGACAGTACCAGTGACGGATTCTATGAGCATCACTGAGCAGCTGATTCTTAGGCAGTTTCCACGCTTCTTTGCCGAGAAGGACGTCCAAGGCGTTGGCGAGTGTAGGAACATGGGCTATTTTCTCCCAGTGTCGTCCAACTCCTGAAGGTACAACTTCGATTACACGTCTCGATGTGCCTTGCGGCCAACTACTGGGTTCCGAAAGAGAGACGCTGAGGGAAATGCCACTCTCTGGAGATATTGTAGGGTTAGCTAGAGTTTGACCAATTTCTTCACGAAAACGTTCGATGGTCGTGACGTCCAAAATGTCTTTCAGATAAAGTATACCGTCACGATGAAAACATTTCCGCATGGCCTCTGAGTCCATTTCGTCAAGTATGAAGTACACCAAAAACACACCAAAATCACCGAAACAAAACAACCAAAAACTTTCGAAACTACCTGTACTCGTATAGCCCTTGGTTAAAGTTTGACATACAACACTTTACGATCATAACCTAAATATACGTGTACAGGTGATCGATAGATATTCTTCAGATAAACGCCGGTATCGTTTGCTCGAGGTATTACGAATTGCTTCACGGACTTTGCACAAATAAACGCCTCTAGAAACAAATGTACCGAAGGTACCTACGAAAGCGGAAGTACTTTCGTACTTTCGTACTTTCGTACGAAAGTACGAAAGTACTTTCGTACGAAAGTACTTTCGTACGTACAGTAGGTACGGAAGTACTTTCGAAAGTACCTTCGAAGGTAACTGTCTAAGGCATCAGATACGACGTCGCGACAAACGGCACCAACAGCGTCGCTTCCGATACGAGGAGAATGAATATTATGATGTATTTAATTTGCTTTTATAAAGAGAATGGGGTACATCTTGGTATTCAAATATAGACAAAAGTTACTGCGCTCAGTCGTTTGCTAGCTACGAAGGTACGAAGGTAGAAGGTACCTTAAGGTACACGTATACGTAGTAGCTAGCTAGCTAGCTACGAAAGTACGAAAGTACCTAGCTAGCTAGCGCTAGCTAGCTACGAAGGTACCTTCGAAGGTAGCTAGCTAGCTACATACTTTCGTACTTTCGAAAGTACCGAAAGTACGAAAGTACCTTCGAAGCATAGCGTCACAGGGGGATGGGTAGTCTACCCCAAAAAACCAAAATGTTGGAAGACTAATTACCCATACGACATTTTCAAGCAGCGATGTAGCGAAGGGGCTCGCTACCCGCTATCTGATTTTCTTCCTCTCAGGTAGTGGCCTCCGCTACCCGGAGTTCGCCCCCCTTTAACCCTTCGGACAAGACGCCCACCCCCCGAGCGGCCCCGTTTCGCCCCCTCGCGGCTAGGGTCCTCGAACCCTAGTTAGGTTTAGGGTTACGCGTTCGCGTCGGAGCGAGCTCGGCGTCGCGAAGCGACGACGAGCGAGCGGAGACGCGAACGCGCAACCGTAAACCTAACTAGGGATCGAGGACCCTAGTCGCGAGGGTGGCGAAACGGTGGCCGCGAGTTTTAGGATATTGAAAAACGTAGTTCCACCCGAGGTAGTAGTAGTAGGGTTGGTTTTAACGTTTAGGGTTTAAGGGCACGGCGACCGCGCGAATATCACGCGGGCGAAGCCCGCGTGGCTTTCGATCAGATGTGATGATGGAACATGAGCTCAGGGGCGAAGAGTCGCCGAAGGCGAGCGATGAGTTCAATATTGCTATCAAATCACTTGTTTATACGATGAAAATTCGAACCTCAGAGGCT